TTTATTTTTCTAAGCTTATATTTTATAATAAAATTAAAAAGCGTTAAGAATATATACTAGTATACTTATCGGCTATTAAGCTTCTATTAAATTATAAATATATATAAATTAGTATAGTTTAATAATACTTTAATAGGATACTTACTACTATCTAGATAGTACTACTAGTATTAAAAAAAGTAAATAATAGCGAAAAGCTCCTAATCTAGGATAATATAATTAAATTCTAGGCCCGAAAATTTCTTTAATTAGAAGACTACTAGATACTACCGACCCTTCGAATCTAATTATAAGAGTACGCCTCTTATATCCTAATTTAAAGTATCCGTTTTTAATATAATATACTTCTCTAGATTAAAATAATATAATAGGGATACTAACTAAAAGGTAAGTTTTAACTACTAAAACGCCTATAATTTAGTCGCGTTTAACTATATATACCTTAGCTTTTTACTATTCTTACTTCTTTTTATTATAAATATAAAAGATAGGGATAGTTAAGAATACCTCTTTATAAAATAGCGGTAGAAATTATAAAATCCTAAAAAGACCTAAATATTATAATAGCTCTTTAGTTCTTTCTATTCTTAGATTACGCGGACGCGGCTTTAGTCTATTTTTACCCCTAATCTATCTATAATAAACCCTAAGAACTCGATCTCTCTCTAATAGAAAGTATATTTTAACGGTTTTATATAGAGTTCCGCTCTCTATAGTCTTTCGAAGACTTATTAAAGGGCTTTCGTATAGGATTCTCGATCTTTTATAAATACTAGGATATTATCTAAATAAGCTATATATATTATATTAACTAGCCTTATTAACGCGGTATAGATATAGTTTTAAAAGATAGCGGGTATATTAAATAATCTAAATAATATAATTATATATTTAAAATAGCTATATCTTATTCGGAAAGCCGTCTTTTATTCGTTACCTTCCCGAAGTCGAATCTAGTAATAGATATCTTTAATATCGATCTTACTAAAAAACTAGGCTCCTAAAAAATAGTCGAGAATCTCTAAAATAAAAGATAAAGAATACTAGTTCTTAATTAATATATAATTTAGCCCTTTATAGTCTATATATAGCTATAGGCCTCTATTTTTCTTTAGGATAAAAAGAATAAAGGCGCCCGCGGGGCTCTTTAATAGGCGAATTCTCTTCTTTTTAATATTATCGACTAAATAGGCCTATAACTCCTTAAATTCGGTTCTAGATAGTAGATAAATCGGCTTATAAGGAGGGGTTTTCTCTTCTTTAAATTCGATTATATAATCGGATATTTTAGTCTTTAGTAGGGTACCCGCTTTTTCGTAGTTAAATATATTAAGAAACTCTTCTAATTCGAGGGGTATTTATACCCGATCTATATCCGATATAGCGGCGTCTTCGTCTAGTAACTAAACCTCTTTTAATATTTTAACTAATATATAGATAATAGTAGTATTTCTTAATTATTTTATAAATTTATAAGGATTTTAGAGTTCGAAACTCTTTATTCCGAACTACTATTTATCTATACTAGGACGTAGAATTATATTAAATTTATTTATAAATATTTTAGATAAAAATACTAGGCTTCCTTCTAGTCTAGGATCTCTCTCGATCTTAATATAAGGTCGATTTATTATCTTTTTAGTCCCTCTAAAGTTTCTAATTACGAAAGGTACCTAATATATACTATAGATATAGAGTCGTTCTAGGACTACGCCTTTTAGTAATAGAGATATAAAGGATATAATATATAATTTATTTTCTTTAGCGAACTCTCTACTAACTATATTATATTTTACGCTAGTATCTAGATCTATATATATTTCGATACTATTATATATAGTAATCGATATATAAAGACGTATTATAGTCTTAATAAGTAGGTATTAAGCTAGTATATTAGGATCTACTCTAGCTCTTCGACTTTTCTTAATTATCTAGAGTCTCGAGTTTTTAATACTTAGATAATAGATTAAATTAAGACTTTCTAGGGGTAATCCTAAGTCTAGTAGTTTTTATCTTTATAGATAAAATAGGCGCTTTCTAGTATCTTTTTAGTACCGTTTCCTTTTTTAGGCTATATATTATTTATAAAGCTTTATAAATTATCTTAATTATTTAATTTACGTCCCTAGCCCCGGCCTTAGATTCTAAAATCCCTAGGTTACCCTCTACCCTAAGATTATCCTTTATCCTAAGTAATCGAGATTTTAATATAAGAGTAATTTAATATCGAATTAGTATAGTTTTCCCGTCTTTTCTTATCTTAATAATAATAGTTTAAAGAGTCTTTTCTTAGCCTCTAGTATATAAAATAGATATAGTAAAATATAAATATTAGCTTTAATATTTCGTCCTAGTTTATAGGTAAGACGCTATTATTAGTAGTAATTATAATATCTTAAAAAAGTTTCTATAGTTTTATAAATAGGGTCTAGGTCCTTTATTTCTTATTCTAGTTTAGAAGGTAATTCTCTAGCGATTCGAGATAGTTTTCGAAATTATAAGGGTCCTAGTAGGATTTTATTATAGCCTTCTAGAACTAGATAAGGATATCGATAATAATATTATAGGAGTTCTTTAGAAGTATCTTTATTTATTTCTTAAATATATCCTAATCCGATATCTCTTTAGGATATTTCTGTTTATAAGATATCTATTTTTCTTTATAGGAGATATATAAATAATTTATAGTAGCGAGGATTTTTTAGATTTTTAAGATATATTTTTCGGAGCTCTTTTAAAAAGCGCTTTAAGGTTATTTAATTAGTCCTCTCTTTATTTTATACCGAAATCTAGTTTAAATTAGCTAATATCTCTTTTAATCTCTCTTTTTTAAAAGGGTTCGCTTTCTATAGATAAATCGCGGTAGTTCCGAGACCTTCTTATTATTTAATTAAAATCCCGAAGTTTCTTTTTATTTTCCGCGACTACTTTTTAAGCCGCGAGAATATATTCTTATAATACTATTCTAGCTTTATATTCCGTAATTTTTTCTTCTAGGCTTCGAAGGATTTTATCGGCGATACGAGAGCTTTCCGCCGCTATCTCGATAGTTTTTTTAGGTAGGTCCTAAATTAGTATTTCCTCCCGTTCTTCCGTAGGTAGAAGTATTCCCGATTCGCTACCGGTTTAAGTAGGATACTCTAGCGCCTCGGTATTATTATACGAGCTACTACGGGTAATTAGGGGAGCTATTATATCTTAGGTAGTTAAAGAAGAAGAATTAGAATTATAAGAATATACTATTTTAGGTATAAGGCCTATCAACCGGGTAAGATACGTTAGCTTAGGAGGAGGAACAAAGGTATATTAGGCTATATATGCTAAGACTAATTCTTGCTAGAATTCAGGGGTCCCGGGGGACCCAAGATTAAAAGGAAATGTGCGTACTAAGGCTCGGCACCGATCGGGTGACGAACCCCGCACGATTCACACACGTGTCAAAACTTCTATGAATACATATGTCGCCCAAGTTCCTGTTTCACCTTTGAAAGGACCTTTATCCTTTACATATATATACCCTATCCGATATAGATGTTCTAACCGCGGTCGGGAAATTACTTCTAGGAAAGTAGGTATATCTACTGTTATTTCTGACCGTGGTCAGAAATCTCTCCTTAGAGGGTGGTTTCTACTAATATTCTGACACCTATCGAAAAAGTGAGGTTTAGAAGGCTTTGTACAATGACTTGACGCACTACTGCTTTTCTGACAGGCGTCAGAAAAGTGAGGTTTTGGAGGCTTCATACAATGACTTGACGCATTACTGCTTTTCTACCCGCGTTATCCTAAAGGATATAGCGATATAGGATTTATAGCTTACTAATATCGAGTTAATTGTAGTGTAATTTGACGTATAGGAGCTATATAATCCTAGTTAAGAAGAGGAACTAGAACCTCTAATAGTACTAGTAAAGGTTATCTCGATAGCCGATATATAGAAGGAGTATAAAGATTAATAGATTAAATCGTTAAAAATACTTTAATCGGAGTAGTCGATAAATAATACTATATATATCTAATAAAAGAAGGGGTTAAATATAGTAGTAACAGCTATCCGAAATAGCGTTTATCCGAACTATCAACCGTTTATTATCGACTATAAAACTCTATACGTTTTACTTCGAAACCTTCGTTAAAGATTCGCTACCGAATATAACCAAATAAACGCTACTAGGCTCTATTAATTATAGAGAAATCTAGATAGAGATGCGCCAATTTGTATGGGGACGAAAAGCTTCATTTTTGACACCTGCAACGTCCAGAAAGTTGGAGATGCGCCATTTGTATGGGGACGAAAAGCTTCATTTTTGACACCTGCAACGTCCAGAAAGTCGGAGATGCGCCATTTGTATGGGGACGAAAAGCTTCATTTTTGACACCTGCAACGTCCAGAAAGTTGGAGATGCGCCAATTTGTATGGAGATGAAAGGCTTCATTTTTATGGGTCAACGGCGCCTAGTTATTCCATGCCGAGTCGGTTACAGTACACTGTACAGAGAGGCCTGAAAGCGGTCTAAAACAAGGCTTAATTCAGGCATATATCAGGCCAAAACAAGGCATTCAGGCAACAAATTCAGGCATTTGTCATTGACCGCTATACCCCGTCGTACTACCGATACTCTGGCCGGTCCCCGATCCGACTCCGACACAACGATAGTATCAATTCCCGAAGGCTGGACAACCACAGTACTGTTTGCACGCATTGCGCTCCCACTTCGACAACTATTACTCTCACCCGGTAATTCTAGAGATCGGGGTATATAGAGGGTTGGTGCTTCCATGATGGGCTTAAGAGTAAGAGTTAAAAGGGATTGTGCGACCAACGGCCAAGAGGCAAAATGTGGGAATAACCTTATGTTTCAAAGCAACCTTTTAATTCTGATTGTGCTAAAAGCTAATAATAATTGGCAGGGCCAACACGACTCAGCAACGTCCTTCTTGCACGTAAATATATTAATCAAAAGAATAACAACCCACCAAGTCCCACGTCGTAACTCCTATATTCCCGAGAAACTACGTCGCTGAGATTCCAGCGTGAACGATTCCCTGTTCATGCCTGGTAGTGTGTTGTACGGCCTGTTCTGGTTTGGCATGTCGACGCCCACAATGCTCGAGTCCTTAATGTCAGGTGGGAGAAGAAACCCCGCTTTGACTAAGGCATGGTGTTGTTCAGTCGATGAGTCGCCAGCCAGGAGGCAGTCCTCTTGGAAATTCTGGAAGACCACAGCTCTAGCAGCCGCATCTGATGGCCGTCCCAGACACAAAGGAGCCCCTGACCATCCGTCAGCTGGTGCAAGGTTGGCGCCCGTGTGCCAGAGCAAAAAGGAATTTTGTGATCTTGTCTTTCGGTCCCATGTATAGCCCGTGCCGAGTACTGCTGCTCTGTTAAAGAGCTCCGAGTCCAGGGTACCTGTGATAACCCGCCACCGCCCAACGTTTGTTTGATAGCAAACAACATACACATCTTGTCCATCTAGTGCCGCCGTGTAGTCAGCCCAGCCTGTGACTGGTGGATATCCTGGAGGACTAGTCACATCGGGGAGCGCACTATCTGAAATGAGGGAGAGGTCATGCTTGTAGCCGTGTGGGTATGGTTTGATTCGGCTTGGGTGGTCGTACGTGTGGGCGATGGCGCCAATCTAGTAGCGTTAGAAGTGTAGCATAAGTAGGTTAGGTTAGAGCTAAGTAGGTAAACGTACCTGTTTTCGAGACGATGCAAGCCACACTTGTTTTCCAACGGGGTCATTCGTAAGCACTTCGTTAGGCATAACGAAGGCGCCATCGTCCTCGCCGACCTTAGCTGGCAGATACCGCCTCAATCTCCGCTTTGCCTTATCGACTATTGTTTGAAAGACATTGAAGATGTTGGCGGGCATCGAGACCCCCGGACATTGGACGAAACCATGGGTGACGGTTGTGATAGCCATGGAACCATTTCGTAGCTGGAGTTTTAGTCCGAGGCACCCTGCACGAGAATGGTGTTCTCCATTTGGGTCTGCACTGACGCTAAGACCGGACTGGATAGGTGTTGTCGTGAGACTATAGCGAGTGGTATGGAAAAACACTCGAAGACCAGCGAGCTCTAAAGGCCAGACCTCGCGATACGCGTCTTGCGTATGTTGTTCGCTTTCAAAAAGCACGATTAGGAAACCCGCAATGAGTACCTCGACACCAACAGCCTCCGGAAATAATTCTCGAAGTCTGTTAAGATCGGCGGGTGTCAAAAATCTTCTTGGGTTGATGTATCTTGTGAAGTGCGCGTTGAACTTGTCGGGAGATCGGGGGGGTGAGAATGCCCCTGGGAATGTACTGTTGAGGATCTCCGGGCATGAAGTGGATTGGCCGCCCACCGGCATACACGCTATCTGATGGGCTGAGAGGCTTTTCGACCAGCCAGACAGTTTCACCGAAAGCTGAACTTGACGCCCATACCTTTTTTTTTGAAGATAGACTGGGGTGGTAGGTTCGGACAAGCTGCTCATTTTCATCGTCGACCTCTGTAACGGATTCGGCGCGAAATTTATCGGCTTGGAGGTGATCATTGTCGAGATAAACTGAGAAAAATGTGATTTGATTAGCGCTAAGAAACGTGACTTGAGAATCTAGAGATCGGACCAACATACCAGGTATGAGCCGAATCAAAAACGGATCATTCGCAGTTTCATACTCAACGATGTCCTGCTCGACGACTGGAATAGGAGGGTATTCGAACTCGTTTAGCTTGCGGCGTTTGTAACCTAGCTCCATATTGTTACTACATTAGATGATAAGCAGTTACGAAAGTAGAAAGTGGAGACGTTGAGTGGAGAAAGCGTTTCTGCCAGTCAGGAGAGCTTGGGATGATTTCACCCCATGTCGTTCTGCCAAGGCGGCGAGGGCGAAATCGACCTTACAGTCTCAATATTACCTAAATTGGTATACCCCAACAAAACTTTTAAGTTGAAGACCATCTAAAACTGAGCGCTCATTGGAGATCATTGATTTATCACGTGACTGGTCTGAGCGGCTCAGTAAGTCTGAGCCCGGACTGAAATCTACTCAGTGAACCTGACTCTGAGCGCCCTCATAAAAGCGGCGGCAGCTAAGATAGGAAAGCCCCACCAGGTAGAGGAAATCAAGTACGTATAGCTACCTAGGTACCTAGGTATAGATTCATTGGGAGATGTCGGCATACCTTCTAAAAGTCACTCGAACAAAAAAGATCAAAATAATCCTTGAAATATATCAACTATATATATTCACAGGGGTGGTATTAATGCCGGGAGACTTGGCGAGATTGACAAGGGCTAACTAGGTATTATATCTGACCTTTTATATGGGTAGACACAAACAGGTCTCATCCCTAGAACCCGTCTGTCTTGCTCTCTAAATTATCTCCCCTTCGCTCCTATTTAGGTTTTATATGCAGTGTTGCTTTTATTCGGGTGAAAATAAATGCCGTTGATGATATTTTTCTCTAATAGAACAATTCAAATGGCTATGTAGTAATACACGATGAAGCATTTAAAAAGGCCTCATGGATTGCACCTTTTTCTCGGGCAATATCCATAATCTCCTTCTCTGTTAGACGCGGTACACATGGCTCATACTTGCAAGTCCTAACATGCACGCCCTTGTAGAAAATTTTGACTGTCCGCATTCTCTGTTCTTGTCTCTCGGTCATGATCTCAGCCCACCGGGCTCTCACTTCCGCGAGATGTTCTTCTCGCCTTCTTTCCCCCATCCGCCATGCCGCAATCTGGTGGCCGATAGAATTGCTCGGCTCCTGCACCCATCCCACACCCCAGTCGGGGAATTCTGCAAGTGCTGTCTCGTCTTCGACGGCGCACTTCCACTGCCAGCTGTTCAGCGCCTTAATATCATCCTTTGAGCGGCACATATTAAGGATACTTCGGGGAGCGAGGTAGTGTTGGCGGATGTGGAAGTCCACTTGGTAGTGAGCAAAAAGGACGGTAGCTTCATCTATTGGCTTTCCTGACTCAGCCTCGGCCTTCTTTAGAATGGTATCGATCTTGTCGTAGTAACATTGTTGCTGCGCAGGTGTGATATCATCCCAAAATGTCGCATTGGTATTTTGGTGGACTACTGTGTCTGTGTCTAAGGGAGATATAGATTCGTCATGTGGTGTGCTTTTGCTGGCAAAGAAAGGTGGGTATTCCGAGGTGATATATGATCCGGCAGCAATGTCTGAATTCAACATATATGGAATAATATGTATATCTCTACATTCGGTGCATTCGAGAGCATCCTGTAGAGCGGCGTTTTGCGGTGACTTGGGCTTGACAGCAATTGGATCGCATAGGAGCTGGTTGCCAGTGAATAATAACTGTACAATCTTTTCCTTGACAACCTCTGTCCAGTTTTTCCTTGGGGTCAATCTGCGCTTTGTGACACGGTTTGTATTTGGTACAGGAATCCCCATGGTGAATGGTTGTGTGAGTGCACAAGTGGTAAGGTTAAAGGGATGATTGGAATAAGGTATATACAGAGTGTTGTGATCTGATGGAGGGATGAGAAAGATGTGAGTGAAAAGTGATGTTGTTTGGCATGCATTTATACAATGTGTCAAAGGCCTTTGTGTCGATGTCGTGGACAAAGGACTAGAGAAGACAATAGAGTACATAATTCTCATTTAAATCTCAAACAAAGGTGTTGAGTATCAGACCCATTGATTCGAGTCAATCAAAGAAAGCAGAGCAGGTAAACAATGAATAGTGAACAATGAATAGTGAGTGGCCCACTATACAATGAGATACTTGAATATCCTGAGTCGACGTCTATGGGAGAGCTGCAGCATCAATCTAAATATAGGAAGCATAGAGAGGGCTCCTTCTAAGGAGTTGTTTATGGTGTGGGCATGTGTGGGCGTGTACGGGCGATTATACAAGCCACCCGACACATAACTCTCTCATTGGTTCATATTGCCAGGCAATAATTTAGATCTCTCACTTCACAAGTACTATTGTTGAATATATAGTTACTTTATATAGTATTTTTATAAATGAATACTGTTGAGCAACCTGTTACTATATGAGGAGAAAGCAGAGGAAGAACTATTAATTGATTAAACTAGAAATGCAGGGGTTATATACCCTGCTAAAACCATCTAAACTCTGCTCGATTGTAGCAAACAAGCAAACAAATAGCAAATAACGAACAATTTGAATTAAATCTGAATTGAATTAGCAGATCTCTTGGCCGCTAGTTTAGGTGTAGATGAATCTTTATAGGGTAGACTATTGTAGTATAGAAATAAAAGAGAAGTTAAAATTAGTAAATGGTTCAAGAAGGCAGTAATGAACAAGGCAGTGAGATAGTAACCAATGAGAGAGTTATGTGTTGGGTGGCCTACTTAGTTGTCCGTAGGTCGTGAAAGGTCATCTGGGGAAGGTGCAACTAACCTCGGACGTGACTGAACATCGTGAATGAACATTGTGACTCTACGGGATCATCGGGTCCATACTCGTGAAAACTAGGGGGATCTCTCTATAACAATTTTGTAATGTAATTCGGATACATATGTGTTGATGTCAGTGATCGACTATAAATACTTGTCTTATTGTTCTTTAGGCACATTGATCTCGGTTTGCCCTAGAGGTGGATATGTAGTAACAAAATGAAAATACGTCGAATGAGCCAAGTGTGTGCCAGTTTAACAGTTCAATCAACCTGTTATCCACTAATTGACAACAGTTGTAAATGCTGATTTTTGGTCCTCTTCGCGTTACTTCTTCCCTTTCTCCTCCCTAAACCAACAGATGTACTTCTTATCTTCATCAAAACGCGTTCACTTCTACAAAGTATTCAATTGACAAATTCATTATGGCGGAAGCTTCTCTTGCCTTCCCCATAATTTGCCTGACTCTCTCATTCCTCTTTGTTGTTGCCGTTTACAATCCCTCGATTATGCGGCACCTCGGCGCCTTCCACCATCACATTATCCTTCCCGTGTACCAACAAATTGCGCGCAAGCTCTTCAACCGTAATCCCATCAGCCAAAGTCCACCAGACCGTACGCCCGGGGTAGGGTACGAGGCACTCAACCTCGATAAAAAAGATGAAGAAGAACAAAGTCCGTCACCCCTCCCAACTTCATCCATGCCAACACCTGACTATCATCGACACGACGAAGAACCTGCTCCCGACCCATTCAACATGCTTTCAGAAAGGGATACTGAGATAGAAATACACGACCTCAGCAGACCTACCAGCTATGCTGGAAGCCCATACCGTCCGTCCGATTTTGTGGAATTGGCTGGCCTCTCCACCCACAGCCCTTCACACAGTATTGCTGAATCTGTAGTGTCCTCTGACGAGTATGACTCTGAATGGTCCGACTCTGCTCTCGACGAGGCTGTTTACGTGCGAGACAACCCAACCGATGATATCCCCGTCTGGGAATTCGACGTCAGGCGTCCTATTTACATCGTTGGTAACGAGCACGAGCAAGGAAGACCGACGGTGTGGTTAGATGAGGTTGTCGAGTGGACCTCCCAGGGTGTTTTTGCTTTTGTTTCGCCTGACATCTTGGAACAACGGAGGTGAGCAGGATAGTGCTGAGGCACAGATACAGCATTCACGGGCTTGGCAGAATGTCCGAGTACATGATGAGCTGAGCGATGAAGTACTTTCCTATGTCATTATTCAGGTATGAAACCAACGTCATTTCAATCTCCAGTTCCACACTATGAATGCCTTGATGTTACCGGGTATCTCGTAGGTTGTAGGTGCTATGGTATGATCCAAGCAACTGGTCGACTCGGTCACATCGGTCTATGAGTCCTGTGACGCGGGCGTAGATCGCATTTCAGATATCATTGGCGGGGCTTATCAACGCCACGCAAGGGATCGAGCCATTTCATCCGGACATAAAAGTTCTACATGACATCGTCTCATATTGCCATTGGCTCGGCAATCGCGCACAAACGGAAATTTGGCTGGTCGTGCCGGTAATGGCGAAATACTTCCTCGGGTTCTCGCATTGTGTTCTGGGCACCATGTTACCTTGCGAGTCATTTTGGATGCCTGCGTACTGAGGGGGAGGAAATGTTGCAAATACAATATATTGATTTAGACTTGTCCATTCTGTCCATCTGGTCTGTTTTTTTTTAAATCGTTATGTTCGTCTATAGTCACGTTAAAATCAAAATCGTTGGCATGAATCTCTCCAAAATTTACGCTCCAAACCAATGTTACTTTTTTTTTATTCGCTGCGAGAGAACTTAGGGAGCGCAGTAGCCACCGTCGACAATGAGATCGGCGCCGGTAGTGTAGGTGGAAGCATCGGAGGCAAGGTAGAGGTAGGCACCCTTCAGCTCGTGGGCTTGGCCCTCACGACCCATGGGGATCTTGTCGCGCCAGATATTCTTGGTATCCTCGGGCACAAAGCTGGAGATCTCAGTCGCAATATAACCGGGGGATATGGTGTTGGCACGAGCGTAGCGGACCCATTCGACAGAGAGAGACTTGCCTTGGAAGGTGTTAGTAGGGTAATAAAGCTGATGGTGTCTGAATAACAACTTACAAAGGTGGATGACGGCAACCTTAGCAGCGTTGTAGGCTGCCTGCATCTGGGGGAAGTTGACAATGTGCCCGCTCATAGAGGCAGTAGCAACGAAGCTTCCATATGTAAAGTTGGTGAGCTTGTTGCCGTTGACATCGGTGCCCTCCTCCTTCTGGCGGCGCCAGTGGGAAGCGGCAGCCTTGGCGCAGTAGAAGGTACCGTCAAGATCAATGGAGACGACATCGCGGTAGTGGTCGAGGGGACCGTCGATCATGGGGCCTTGGGTCCAGGGAACACCGGCGTTAGCAATAAAGACATCGAGGCGGCCATTGAAGTCCTTGACAACGTCATTGACAGCCTTCTCGACGGCGTTTGTATCGGTGACCTGAACCTGATAAGCCTTGGCTGTGAAAGAAATCGGGTTAGAATTATGTGGAGCCAATCACATTGCGTATATCCGTTACGCACTCTGGACACCGTATTGTTCAGCGATCTCGGCAGCCCTCTCGATGCACTTAGAATTGCTATTGTACCACATGGCCACATTGGCACCAGCCTCGGCCAGACCCTGCGCAACGGCCAATCCGATACCGGCACCAGCACCGGTGACAATGGCAGTCTTTCCCTTGAGGGAGAACATGCTCATGAGGCTGGGATGTTCAGGAGCAGTGGTGTTGTTGTGGACAAAGAGTCCATTTTTGGTAATAGGGGTAGCAGCCATTGTAGCAGTAGAAGAGTACTCAGTAGACACAGAGAAAAGTGAGAGTGAAAGGAGGCAGATACAAGGTCGGGAGACCTTAAATATGAAGCTTGCGAGGGGCAACTCTAGAAAGCCCAAGGTGATAGACGGTGAGTGATGCGCTGGCGGGGAAATCGGACTAGACCGTGGCCTTCCTTATGTATAGACCTTGGTGGGGAGCTGTTGCATTGTTCTTTGATGGCACTGGCTCCTATTCATAGTGGAGAATGACAATATGCGCCCCGGAATAATCATTTGACATGGAATGAGATACATCATATTTTTGTGTGGTCAGATACAACTGTTCTAAAAAGTTGGATCTGTCAGTTGAAGAGAAGCTATTCTCATCTGGGCATCTTGGGCATCCTCTCCCACATGAGGCGGTGAAAGTGAGAACTGGCGCCCCTTAGGCCGTTCAACATGAAACTTGCACTCTACCCTCCCCTAGAAATATACTGTTCAATGTTTTAATGCAGATTGAAACCTATGATCTGAGCTATAGGGGACAAGTCTACACCAAACGAATGTTGACTTGGCCCTTCTTCTAGGGGATGGCCAAGGAAACTTGACCCCAAGAGGACGACATCCATGCTGACTCCCGATCGCAGAATGGAGTAGGGATGCTTGAACTGACTTTTAAAAAGTGGAATGACTGGAAGCTATAGAGATATTCAAACCTCTGCTATCAGTAGGATCCAACTGAACTCGAGAACCATGCACGCAAGGAGTCATTAGGGCAATGCATTATCACTCTATACAACATAACCCAACGCAAACCCAACTGCACATCTATTGCGTATACTAATTTATACTAACAAAACCATTTAGTTGGAATCAAAATGGATCACTTATCCAGACAGGAATCGGATTGGTCTTCGGACGCGCACTGACCTTGTTGATCATCAAAGGCGACCAGTGGAAAAGCGTCGTGTATGGTTGAATACTTTATTGGATTTGTTAGCCATTCGTCTAGTCATTGGAAATATGCCTAAAAAGACGCCCTAGATTCCATTGACTAAAGATGTCAAAGAAGACGCGGAAAGAACACTTGATAGATCAAGTATAAAACTGGGTCGATTAGAACACTCACTCACTCACTCACTCAACACCAACTCTAAACACTCAATACTGGTTCTTAAATATATCAATGGCCCGCTCACATGAATTATGGTGGCGCTGTCACAGTTAAAACGGGCTCGAAGGGGGTAGGGGTAGTGTGGCCGCCAACATTCTTTGCGCCGGGTGGTGATGAATGAGCATTCCTCGGCTGGAATCAATGTTCCCATAACAAATGGTGGTCCCCTTGATGGCATGCCAGAAAGTCTTGTTGTTTCTTACTCTCGTGAGAATTTGTTGTGTTTCATGAGGGTGAAGTTTCCAGCCCTGTGAAGCCTCAGTGTTGCCGTTTTGATACAGCGAGTATTCGCAACATCTGCATGTTCGGAACCAACCCGCTACTCACGGATGAGGAATCGAGAGGACCATCTCCGCCAATTGTGTCCATACAGCCTCGGAATCAGCCCAGTGAAACGCCAGCGAGGCGACCATGCTGGCGCTGCCCGCCGTCATCGCCATAGCCGCTTGCGGCGCGGCCATCTTCATTGCCCTCTCAGTAGTCGGCATCGTTGTCTGGGTCAGGTATCGCAAAGAGCGCCATGTAATGAGGCTGATGGGCTTCACGCAGAGGCCAGGACGGCGCAGTCGGGCCTTGCAATCTGACACCTTGACTGAGTTGAGCCGGGCAGAAGGGAGCGTATTAAGAGCGCATGGGCAGCTTCCGTATGGTAAACCATCAGAATGGGGACAATTAACGTCGAGAGAAAGTCTGCATCGTCCAAGAAGCGATTCGGTTTCATCTATTCCGTTCACCGAGAAAGCACGATCTCTCCGTCATTCCCTTTCTCGATCTCGTTCCAAGCGCTTATCACGATCATCCCACAAACGCATGAGCTCGTTTGGTACATTGGGCACATTGAATGAATCGAATCAACTTCCTAGTCCGCCATCGAAAGCGAGAACATCAATATCAAAAGAAGACGTCCCTCTTTCGGCTGTCGAGGGGATTTTGGAATTGCCAGCAGAGAGAACTCCAACACAGACACCAGATCCCAACGAAGATGGTACTGGATTCCATCTAGGTATGAAACCTGTTTCACCTGGGTGGCCCTTTCCATTACGAAAGCGATCAAGCTTCTTTCCTGCTTCAGAGAACCGTAACTCGTCTGTGTTTGATTCAAACACCGAAGAGTCCCCTACTCGTGCTCGTGGGGGAAGTATTGCTAGTCAAACAGCCGGGATGATGCCTGGTCACTCGATACCTCCCCCTCCTCCTCCAACTGCATATCCCCCAGACAGATTTAGTTATGCTAGGAATGACTCTGTGATGAGACTTTCCTCCATGAGTCTAGATACTACCAATAGCTCAATTTTGGACGATGGGAGGAATGTGACCTCACCCACTTTCCCCTCAGGCACATTTGTACCTTTCAGTGCTGCCGACGTTGGGGTCAAGGATGGTCGGAGGGGTTTCATTGCCACCAACACCTCCATGCCTCCTATGCACAACTTCCCTGTCCGCTCCTACTCGACAACTGAAACTCGTCATAAATCTGCGCCCTTGTCACCTCGGCGAAGTTTGACCACCCACCAGTCGGGTGTCTCCATTGATCAATTTGGTGGCGCCCCACGTCGAACTGATTCTATGTCTTCATCTAATCCTCCTTCACGAGATGCCTCTCTGCGATCTGGGACTCCAGTGGGGCATTTGGAACACCAATATTCAGGCCCATCTTGGCGATCCTCGGGCTCCCACATGCCCTCTGGACAACATGTCAATCAATATCAAAACAGTACAGGCTACGATAATGACGAAATGGAGAATGACCCCTTCTACGTTGGCTCGCCTGGGGGTGGGACTCTATTCCACCAGGTTAGATCACCAGGCAACGCAGGCAATACCGCTAAGCCACCAAGCCCGATGCAGCGTGCCAGTCTCTCTCAGCATGGCAGTCTTACCTCTGCACTAAAAGGTGGAAATCCACAACGCAAGGGCCACCGACGTCAAAACTGTGTTCGTATTTCTATCCATCCACCCATGACATTCGGGTCATCGACGTTCTCTCCTACCGTCGAGGAGGAACCAGAAGACTTCGACAAGATGGAGGAGCTGGATCTACGTGAGACTTCAATCAACAACCCGACTAAACCCTTGCCTTCGTTGCCACCAACTACAGCGTCCCCTATGTCCTCCTCCAGACGCAGCAAGTACGGCAGTCGACATGGTAAGCCCGGCCTTGGATCTCTCGGGCCACTAGTCGAGGAGCCTCTGCCCCCAATGTACGATGACAGTCCTTGCAAGAATAGGAACCGCACTCCATCTGCCTTGGGTGCCAATAAGCCCACATTCGAAAACGACCGCGCTCTCCCTGAACTGTTCACATCTTTCCCCAAGTCTCAAGGCAACTCTCTCACCCACACTCCGTCTCCTGAAAGGGTACCACCTGTCTGGGAAACGTCCAAAACTCCATTTGCATCCCACGAGAACTCCCCTGCCCTCGGTAGCCCACGACGTTCAGCAGTCAAGGGGCCTCGCAACCAACCCGGCGTCATTCCAACTCGGAGACAGTCGACTTGCGGACCCTTAACCTCGCATCATACACCAGATAGTCCCCTAGCCTCGCCCACCCGCCTCCCTCTTGTCATGAGTATTACCGGAACAGAAGGTAGTGACTGGCGCAGATCCACAGACTCACTCCAACGCGCGAAAACCGACGCTCCAAATCCTTCATTCCGCCGTGATCGTGTTTCAATTTCCAGTCTCGACAATGAGCTGGGTCCCATTGGCCGTTCTTCTCTCTATGGCACTCGCCGGTCATCAATGGTTCAAGATCATGTCACTATCTTTGAAGACCCCAACCAGACCACCTCCCCTCCTCAACCCTCCATGCAGCCCCCAATTGGGTCATTCCGCACGCCTGAATCCTCCCCCATCCGTAGCAAGAACAATGTCCCCCGTTCCATGCCAACCAACCAACAATTCCCGCCTCATATGTCGAGCCACCATGCACCCCCGACTCCTACTTCCCCACGTCGAGGGATGACTACTCCCACTAGCAAGGGACTCGGACTTGGACGGGAGACTGCCACGCCTGGTAGCCTTTACGATGGTGATGGATTCCTACGGGAATAAGCTTCATTTTGCTGTGTCTTTCTGTCCATTTTGAAAGCGACAGTTTTCTTTTGATTCATTTTAACTTCTTTTTATTGTGCGGTATTTGACACTGATGTCGGCGCAAAAGCTTCAGTGTCCCTTTTCTTCTATCTGTTTTTATTTGTTCACTTACTTCTTCTTATTTTCTTGTTGCCTGGTGGTCTGTGGTCCGTCTTTTCTCTTCTGCTTCCATGTTTCATGTGTGTTTTCTTAGGTTGATATTCATGAAATAGGAAATCGTTAGTAGAAATCCAATCAATTCTCTACATATGTTTTCTTAAACAGTAATCCAAACCCATCCATCGGTAGCTTCCTACGTAGCCAGTCAAGTATTTTGAACGCCGATCGTACGCCGTGCATTTCATATTTCCCTTCAAATCAGTCTAGTCTCAATCAATCCGTCTTCCGCCACTTAGACTCATCCTCATCTCCATTCTCTTCCACTCCATTCTCCCCCTCCCGAGCCCTAACAGTCCCAGCTCCAGGCCCAAGCGGGAAAGAAGGCGGCTCACCAGCAGCAATCCAATTCCCATCCGCGTCAAAGAACTGCTCCATATTCTCAGCGGTGATCCACCCAGAGCTCCCATCAACAGGCGGGGGCAGATCACCATTTCCAAGCTGGAAGACTCCCTCATGCTCCTCAGCCGAAATGAACTTAGGTCCATCCTCGTTGTCATCCTCATCGCCCGGCTCAACAGGGTCAGGGTGTAAATTGGAGCACGCCGAGACAGCATTGTAAAGCTGCTGCGTGGGTGTATCCGTCTCGTTCTCCACGGGCTCTTGTAGCGTGGCGTCGGCGGGCAGCACAACTGTCACTGTGATGCATTCCTCTTCGTCGTCTTCGGAGGGCGCACCCGGCGTCGCGATCTGCATGTACAGGCCCTGGACTTCGGCGTCGGTGTTTGGGACGCGTAGTCGTTGGAGTGCATGTAGTGAGATTGAGGGGTAGGGGATTGACACGCCTGTTGCGGCGGTGGGGGAGAAGAGGAGCAACTTGCTGTTGAGTGGTATATTTAGTCAGTTGGTGTCCTGGCTATGGGATGGAAGGGGGGGTGGGGGGTTGATAGACGTAGACTCACTCGGATGTCACCCAGGTATCCACGCCTGAGATTGCGACCTCCTTATCCTCGTCATCCTGGCTTGCGGTGCTGTTTGCAGCATCCTGGCCGCGCAGCGCATTCAGCGCTGGGGTGGCGAGTAGCTCGCGCTCAAGGATAACGATCTTGCAGTGCTGGCTGTGGTGGTACAATACTGGTGGTCCGGAGTAGAAGGAGCTTGGGGTGCGCGACTGGTGTTCGGCCAGCGGCACGAATGAGGAAGCTTCAGGGGAGCTGCGAATGACCTCCATGTTGTAGTATGTGTGGGTGCAAAGAGAGAGAAAAATGAGTTGAATGATACGATAGGGTTAGGTTGGGGTGGAATGAAAAAGAGCTTCCGTCGCGGGGTGGAGCTTTTCCAAGAGCTTGGGAGAACCGCAGTTCTAAGAAATATATATTCGTGTACTTTTCCATACAATTTTTTTTTTTTTTTGGTTCAAATTAGAAACATTCATTACAATTGTTATACTACACAGCATTTTATACACAGCATTATTTACAAATATTGAGTTCTTGGTATACTGTCTTTTATATATAAACCACACGGATAGCTAGTCCAAGGAACGATTGCCAACTGATCCACCCGACTTATCTCCCAGCAGAACATAATCTTAGCGCCAACAGTCAAAGGCCCACGGTAAAGCGAAATGTCGCAGACTCGGGGGTTATTTACTGCTTTGACAAGGGCTTAGAAGAGCCTAGCGCTGGAAGGACCGCCGAAACATAGTGCACCCTTTAGAGACCTCATGTCGGAGATTGATTTAGTACCACATTGAGAATTTGGTTCCCAAGCACTCCTTGGATATAAAGAGCAGTGAGGGATTGACTCTCTTGGATGACCACCCTTCCTCATTTCACACCTAGACCACCGAACGCTCTATCCAACTCCTCTCCATCGTTTTGAGGGACCATGCTCGGCAGTTGCGAAGAGCCCTGATCAGGGGAAGAGCTATCTAGCAGGCTTGGATGGGTATCGCCCTGTGCGACAGGGGACATACTGGTCCGGCTAGGCTGAAGGAGCTTTTCTTCGCGGTCGAGCCACCCAGGAGCCAGGCGTCTTTTTTCGGCTAGTTCGCGTTGTTTGATCGACTCTTTCCATGCGTTGATTGCCTGGTCCGCGTTGGCGCGAGCCTGATTCAAATGTTGTCCGAGGGAGTGGCATGAGGCGAGGACGTCGTCTGGGTGAGCTGCGTGCTCACCGCTGGGCGAGACGACATAGCGGGATTTACCATCAGAGCTGCTTGGATCGATTGTCACTGAGGGGGGTAGAGATGAGGGGACAGATTTGTATGTGTAGGGTAATGTGACGGAGGTGGGGAGGTTGATGAAGGGTGAGACGGTCAGTGGGACCTGGGCGAGGAGAGGGTGTGGTCCTAAAAACAGTGTTAGTTATCTAGATTTATATGGACATGATAGAAATACTGACGATAGGAGTCGTACATGGTTGAGTTGTTGAAGATTAGGCTGATCAAGTGCGGAGTAGCGGAGTAACGGAGATAGCATATCACGGCCCCCGGAGAGCCGTGGGAAAGCACCACAACATTCACATATTATGAACTATTACGATAATCTACTATGCTTAGTTCAAAAAAGGTATACTACCTAGGTAGCTATACAATTGGGAAATGAAAGATTAGTAAGTGGTAGATGGAATTGGTAACTAACTAAATGTAGCAAAATACGTACCGGGTAAGGACCTCACCTCTTGCCGCTTTTTGATCACTTGATCACTGACTATTACATAATCAACATGGCTCACTGATCATCCCCTGACGGTAAATGGACACCGCCTCCGCTAGGCGTGAGGCTATCTGACGAGCTTGCTTACATCGCTACTAAAAGCGATATGTCGAACAAGGCGCTGAAGCAGTCATACCCTTTCGATTTCGACGGGAACGGTATGATTAGGGCGACACGTTGCCCCGAGGACTCCCGCTGATTGCGGTGGCTTGGGGGATAGTACCGTTGGCTGGACGTGTATACGCCCTGCTCTACGCCGCGCTACTCGATAAGAATGACAAGAATATCAAGGCCGTGAGGAGCGCGTTTATGATCGTCGCTTCGAAGTCGTTTGTCGAAATGCCACGTACGATTGACAGGCAGCTTTTCACACACTCGAGCAAGTACCTCGAGGGCCAGCACAGCGAGTCCAAGCGGGCGGAGGCCATAAGTATGCTATTGAGGTGCCAGGCAGTGATTGCTACTAATAGGGGACCAACTAGTTACCTAGGTAACTAGTTAGTAAGATACTAGTATGAAATTGAGAGTCAAGAGCTGAGAGTTAGGGGTGCAAAGAGCCCTGTTCTTTCAAAAAATAATATAGTACTACTATTCATTTGTAAGAATACTATATAGAATACTACTCTAATTGTGTACTGGTAAGAATGAGTGGAGGTGGGTGAATCTTTATAGGGTAGACTGTTGTACGTGTAGCTACATACATACCAACACCAAAAGAGAAACAATTTGATAACAAGTCTAAAATTCCAAAATTCCAACAGTCTCTCGTTCTCTATGCACCATCAAAGACCAAAAGGCTTTGGATATTGATGCCAAACTCACGCTGGTACAACAGTTGTCGACCACGATGAACAGGGAACTCACCCACAACCATGATGCTGACATCAGCAATACCAACTTCACCCAAAAGCTGTAGGACCGCACAAAGTGTATTCCCTGTGGAGAGTACATCATCCACGACTACTACCGACGCGCCTCTAGGGATCAAATCCCGTTCTATCTCAATCATCTTCTCATTTGAATTGGATGCCGAAGAGATGTGAGACGTATTCTTGAGGACGGAAACGGTGGGTGGGGGTAGCTTGCCGGCTTCGCGGATCAGCGCCAAGGGTACGTTGACCTGTGAGGCCAACGCGGACGCATAGATGAAGCCGCCAGCCTCGCAACATACTATCCTGTCAACTTTGGCCCAGTCACCCGTGAAGTGAGCATGTAGTAGACCGGTGCACAGGGCAAGCCCACCCGGATGCTGGGAGATGTTGAGCACATGTTGGAACTTAACGCCGGGGCGCGGAAATTCGGGTACTGGACGCACCATCTTGCGCAGTCGCTGAAGGTCATTACCGAAGAAGGGAAGCAGGTAGTCTTCGGCAAACATTTTCGCTTTCTCATTTCCGGTCTCGTCATTGTTGAAGACGAGACTGGGACTGTAGTCCAAGGGCTTCGGTTTTGGTCCGCCATTCGCGTTGTCATCGCCATCAGAATCACCGCCATGGTAGCCTCGGCGAGCACGCCGCGTCTCTTTGTTAGCTTTGACACGAACATCGAGCAGTCTGCTGTCTGGTACCAAGTGCGAGAAGGCTGCCACTGGCGCCTCGTCTCTCACACCGGTGATTAGCAGCACGTCTACATCCCCGGAGCCGTATACAACATTTAGAAAATGCTCCTCTGGTAGCCGAGGCCGATGCTGCACCTGGCTCTGGAAGTACGTGGTCAACGCTGGCCGGTGCTGCTCTTTGTACTCCCGGTCCAGAAGCAGACGGTTGAAGTCGGCACCAGTGGCCGCCGCGTATTCTCTCTTAGTCGCATCGCTGATGCTGACTACTCGTGCCATGAATCTTTTCTGGGTGCATTCATGGAATACGGAGACCCAGATGTTAGCGCAATGGTCCTTGCCGGCGCCGCTTGCTCCCGTGACAAGAATGATGAGCTTCTGTTCTGTGGGCGCTTTTGGAAGCGGGCAGGCGTAGGCTAGCACATTACCCCGGTCTGCTATTCTCTTGAGGCGAGCCAGGCGTGGCAGGTTCGGCCCAAAGGCCTTAGCCGCCAATGCGGTGTCTCTAGGGTCCGGTCCAAGGTCTGCGCCGTAAACTCCACTACTTACAGGCAGCAAGTTGCTAGCGACGTTGTAGACCCACTGCACGGCAGCTCGAGCGACCTCGGTTCCATCTTGTTGGCGCGGCCAGACGCCAGTTACCACACATGCAAAGTCCCAGTCACGACAACCGAAAGCAGTCGCATCGGCTGGAACGTCACTAATAGCTCCACCACCTTGTAGTAGATGGAGATAAGAGAGTGGCGAGGGACGAGTCTCGATGGCTGCCACCAAGATTTCGGCGACATTCAATGCTCCAATGCGTTTTAGGAATAAACATCGCTTGAATGATGAGGTCTTGCTTTTGGCGTGACCCCCATGCATTCCGGACATGTACATCTCGGTATCGAACAAACCGACGCCGTCCACGACCTGTAAATTGTCTTCTGGCCCGAGAATTGTTTCTACGGGCGTGGGTGTCGACATAGGCGTTTCAGAGATGAGTTCAGTCGTGGAAGATTCAAACATGGTTACACCAAAATGCAGCTGGCCAATGTCCCAGTACAGATACGCGTCTGCAGAACAGTTCTTGGGGAGCTTCCTTGCCACCAAGTCATCGAAATCACTAAGTTTGCGCCTCGCCTCGAGATTATCACTCAGCTGGAAAACCCAGTTTCGAATCGAGAACATCGGAGCCGCATACGCCTCGAAAGTAACGCTGATTACGATGCCAAAGTTGGTTCCAGCACCCTTTATCGCCCATAGCAGATCACTTCCGTTCTCTGGGAGCACAGCACCGACGGGCCGGTGTTGGCTTGGTACACGGCCGATGGAAAGAAGCTGGCCAGACTCGACGCTAACCATAACGGCGCCGACGATGGAGTCACACGCGAGCCCGTGCATCCTAGCTAGGTGCCCGATGCCGCCCTGTAGCCATAGGCCCGCGCCTACGCTAGGGCGTGCCCCTAATGGCACTGTCAAGCCTGCCGCCATGGCCTTGCAGATAATATCTCCCGTCTTACAGCCAGCCTCGGCGATGACCCAGGGAGCAGAATTGGAACCAGATTCTCGTCCATCCTCGGCTGTGAGGATATGTACTTGATCAAAGGCGCTCATGTCGACCGAAACGACGCTGGGATAAAGGCAGTGACCGCTATGGCCTCCGCCAACAACTGTCAGGTTGACCCCGTGTTTAAGAGCCCATTGAACGCACTGTTGGACGTGTCGGATCTCTGTCGGCCTAGCGACCGCGGCGGGATGGTGTAGACGAGCTTCCCAGTTCTTAACCCATTTCTCCCCGTCTAACCACGACACCTGTGCCGTCAGCTCCGGTAACGTTGTCGCATGTTTGTTGAAGGCTACCATGATGTTTGGCGAGCTGAATACGAGATGATCTGGGTGGTTCTTGTCGCGACGACCCAAGGCGCGACACACCTTACGCCATTCAACTCGGATAGCCTTGTCCGCCTCCGCATCCTGCATGACGAACCCCGCGATGAACGGAGCAAAAGAGTCCAGTACCTTGTCGTCATTTGCCACACAAACGGCTCCGGTAGGGAAAGAAGCCGTTCGATGGCACACTAACCCGTCGAGGTGTAAAGTCCCGTCGCGATGAAACACCACCACCATTCCGCCTTCGGGATGCTCAACCAGCATTCCCAGCGCTCGTTCGATGAACCTGGCCTTGGGCTTCATGCCATACATGCTATGGCAGAATAGGATAACGTCGAATTTTTCGTCGCTACCACGCGTACGAGTATCACTCTTTGCGTTGCCGTTAATGTCGAATGGAATTCGATGGACATCAGGTGGGCTTTCTAGACAGGGTAGCGGTGACTCCGTCTCTAATGTCGAGCAAAGCCATTTTTCCATCCTTGTAGCAAACAGGTCATTGGGCTCAAATGCCGCATATCTCCGGATTCTTTTCCTCAGACGACCGGGCAGATACCCAAGTACGCTGTTCGGTCCAGGTCCGATTTCTAATACTGAGATATTGATACGCGAGCTGAAGAGGGGAGCTAGCACCTCCAAAAGTTGAGGAATGACAAAGTCTTGGTACGTCATCCACCCTGGTCCCTGTAGTAAGATATTGAACCCAGTGTCGTTCTGTATGTCTGATAATGGCTGCTTCGGGGATGACCCCCTCACGGTGGCATTTTGCCTAAGAGCCCACTTGAGGGAGTCAAGAGTAGCCATGTCAGTCCAACCTGAGTAGAATGACAAGAATGACAAAAATGACAAAAATGGGGAGTTGGGTTGTAGGGCAGAGGTCGCGGGGTAAACAGAACCAGCAATTACTAATGTAGTTTGACAGGTTACTATATCGTTAGTTACTAGTATCTGCCACGTTTTTATGTACTAGGTTTTATTTTTAGCTCGTAGGGTTGTAGGGTAAAAGAATACCAAGCACTCCTTGATTTACCTAAAGGAAAACTAGTAAATAATAATGTAGTATCCTATTAAAATCCACTACTAATTACTAGCTCTATCTGCCCTGCGACCCTATGACTATGATATTCGGCTTGGTCTTCACGGCAATGGTAATGAATTTTAGCCAGGCAAAACTTCGTTTGTAGTTGGCGGCAGCTGGCAGCTGTGTAAAACCACCTACGGCTAGGCATAGATTGAGGCCAAACTACGTACATAAGTAAATAACCGTGTTCGGGCGTGTGCATTCCCTGAGAGGGAAGCTTCTTGGTCTGTATGCTTATAACACTAAATTACAGGCTTTGGGTGATAGTAAACGAACACGCCCCTTATGTCGTTGCAGTTGCATGAAGATTGGAGAGGCAGCCCTTATCAGATCAGGAATAAATGCGTTTTGCAATAAAAAGTGCTTTTTATAGCCATGCGGTTACACACGAAGGTGACACAGAACAGCCCCCCAACGACCCAGATGATGCCCGTTTGTTCCTGAATTCACCGACTTTGCATAATTTCCTAGTAATAAATCTGGATTATCAGTATTCTAATGTCCTTCGAATAGCTAAATATGAGGGCCGTCTTTTACTGGGTAGTCGACTTCGCAATAGTGCATCGTTTCAACCAGGCGAGGAGAACCTTAGGGTAACTTTATGGTGTTAATGAGAAAAGAGTAAGTAAGCCAAAGCAAGAAGTTCAGGAATTTGTAAAGTGACACTAGGAGCACATTAAGGAGGTGTTCTGGAATAAGCTATAGCATTAAGAGAGGAGCGGTTATTGGAATATCGAATCCGCGCGGGTACATAGTGGTGGATTGCATATTCTATAGAGGTAACTTTTCACTCTATTGATAACTTAACACAACTTCAGGGCTGAGGCCCGGCTTTCTATATGTAGGTAAAGGGGGCCTGTCTGATCAGAGAATAAAATCCTTGGAAAGCAAAGCTCAGTACCTTGACAGAAAAAGGGATATTTGCAGAGGAAACTGACTTTGTTGTGTTGGGGCGGACATTGCAAAGTCCGGGTGTCTCCTTTTGGCGGTGTTGATATAGTCCGCAAGGGGGTCAGAACCGACAAGAATCCGAACTAATCCCTTGAGGGCATACTTGGCACGTCTATCTCGCGTCATAGCTCTAGGACGACCCAATAAACTCCGGCTTTGGCTACCCCAGACACGACCCAGCAAAAGGCGGGGAAAGTCTGGGGTTCTCGAACAGAGCCTGGAGTACATGATGCGGATTAGTTGAGCTTGGGTCTTGGTATCTTGGCAATCCTTTTTTGTTCTGTTTTCACTATGAGATTCGGCATTTTCCCAAGCCTATTCCATGAGGTGTGACATGGATGAATCGGACTTTGTCCGCTTCGACTGAGAAGTATTGTCTATAAATGACCTTAACTCGAGGCGTGATGCCTGAATATCACTCACTCAGTTGCTTTTTTCTATACACCGAGTGAAGGTATCGTTACTATCTCATTCCGTTTTCTTGCTATTAATACTCACTTTCCCGGTCGAGGTATTCCACCTCAGAGCTATGGCAATCTTTTCTAAAACCATGAAACCATCTTCGACTCCAACTTTGGAAGACAAAGGGTTTAACAACGCTCATGTTGAAGATGTTGACTCTCTCAAAGTGGCAAATGAGAAAGCCCAAGGGGATTATTCCGGGGCTACAGCCAAGGTTGACCCAGCGGAAATCAGACTTGTGCGAAAATTGGACTTCAGAATCATGCCCATTCTGTGGGCAATGTATTTTCTGAACTATGTAAGCATTGCCTCTACCTAGATATACCGGAAGCTCATATACTAATGCAAATAAAACCAAGATCGATCGCAATGCTATCGCCAATGCACGTCTCAACAACCTCGAAGAGGATCTTGGTCTTGTCGGAACACAGTACAACACTTGTATCTCGATATTGTTTGTCGGGTATGTTGAAGACTTCCCCAGTATATCAAGATGATACATAGCCTGACTTGGAAACTAGGTATCTTCTGATGCAAATACCGTCGAACATGCTCATGTCCTCAAAGAAGTTCCGTCCATCTCTATACATGAGCGGGTGCATGGCACTATGGGCTATAGTCTCGGCTTGTACTGCTTTGACAAAGAGTTACATTGGTCTTCTACTTGTCCGATTCTTTCTGGGAGTCACTGAAGCTCCGTTTTATCCGGGTGCACTGTTTCTACTGTCAGTTTTCTACACGCGCAAGGAAATTGCTCTACGCATTTCCATCCTGTATACTGGCAATATTGTTGCCACTGCTGTTGCTGGTCTGATAGCAGCTGCAACCTTCGCAACACTAGACCAGCACATGAATCTCAAAGGATGGCAGTGGCTTTTCATCATTGAGGGCGCGGTGACATTTGGCATTGCCGGTCTTGGAATTTTCATGTTGCCAGATCATCCACTCACAACACGATGGCTGACGTCGGAGGAGCGCCAGCTTGCCCATGACCGCATTCAGAGAGATACAGTCGGAAGTGACGAGTCGAAGGGTGCTCTGGCTGGCCTGAAGCAAGCCATGGCCGACCCACGCGTGTACCTCTTAGCTTTTATGCAGAACATGCATCTAAGTGCATGTGGTTTTAACAACTTCTTCCCGACTGTCGTTGGAAGTCTTGGGTTCAGCAGCACAGTCACCTTGGTCTTGACATGCCCTCCATATGTGTTCTCCGGAATATGCTGTATCATCATTGGCATCACCTCTGGTCGGTACAACGAGCGGACATGGCACATTACGTTGTCCATGGGTGTCGCTGTTGTAGGTTTCATCATATCCTGCGTGACACTTAACAAAGGTGCAAGATATGTGGCTTGTTTCCTTTTTGCCAGTGGTGCATACGCCGTTAATTCAGTCATTCTAGGCTGGGTGTCTGCTACACTGGGTCAGACACCAGAGAAGAAAGCCGCTTCGATCGGCTTTATCAACGTTGTGGCTAATGCGTCTTACATTTACACAGCCTACCTCTATCCGAAGAGTGATGGGCCTCGTTACTTGACTGGAATGTCTGCAAATACGGCTTTTGGAATTGCAACTATTGGAAGTGCGTGGGCGTTGAGGTGGTGGCTGCAGAATACGAACAAAAAGATTAACAGGGGTGCTCTACCTGGTGCTCATGACGTTCTTTATGCCTATTGAGAGATTGCCTGGTAAATTAAATGATGTGTTTATAAGTCGGTATTAAATAAGAAGCCTGGCTTTCTTCCACACTGCTAAAATGGCAGCCCTAATGAAAGGGTTAGCCAAGTTAAGATGTCTAAGAGATAAAAAAAAACAGAGAAATCATGCACGTTTGGAATATGCCATTCTCAAAAAGTCTTCGCTCAAGTTGAACAAGCTTGTCTTGCGTCTCGTCTTCTGCCGTCAAAGCTTGTGTCTCACTGCCAAGGATTCCTCGTGTTTCAGCGTGCCTTGCCATGGTGAAATCAGAGCCTAAAGTCGAAGAGCCAGGCAACATCATATTGCCAAGCCCCAGGTTTGATCAGCCAGGTCATTGCAACACCTGCTATATGTCCCACCTGGTTATTTGCAGCGTTCAGTCGACTCCAGATATATGGAAAGGTCCTTGGCGCCTCAGTGATATCCTGAACGCCCTAAGGACCCATCCATCAGTATCGCACACCCACCGTGAATCGCAAATAAATAGCCGAGTATCTCCTCTCGCATGTCGGGCCGACGCACTTGATAAACGCGTCGTTCCGGTTCACAAGCTCGGTGAGGATTTCTTGGCAGGTGCGCGCGTTGCTGTTGGTCGTAGGACCCACTTTGGAGCGGGTGGGTTGGCGTTGATTTTCTAGCAGAGATTTGGGTTAGTCTTGCACGGCTTGCACTTTGGGCGGGTTTGGATGGTGCTGTGCGTAGACTGAGTCAGCCTGTTGCTGCTTTTCATCTGTTAAATTTGTATCCATTGGTGTGGAGGGTTGTTGCACTTGTTGCGGAGACGCTTTCTATTATTGTATGGAAGAAGAGTGGGTTTGTTGATCTGTCTGCTGCGCGTTCGATGGAATATTGAGAATTCTCAGGGGTTGGAGGGGGTTTGGGAGGGCATTGGAGAGGAATCCGGCTGCTAAGATGTTGTTTGATTCGGCTGGTGCTGGGTTGCGAATGCGACGAACAACAGAAATTAGTAAAAGGTTCAGGGACATTTAGGGGTTTAGCGTACGTCTGTCTCATTGGGTTTTAAATGGGTTAGTGAATCCTTGCATTGAGTGACTAAATATCAAAAGTATGGTGTTACTATATGGATGTTGGAGGTCTGTACAGGTACTGAAGTGGATATATATTTCTCGCTATTTCTACAACTTCGAATTTTTTTTTTTCCTTTTTTTCACAACCAATTCTGATTCAAAATGTAATGACCGTGTCTATCAGAATATATCAACACAATATCTACACTATCACAGGTTAACTAGGACCGACCTGATTTCAAGATACTGTTGAGTGAGAAAATTCCTGTGGTCTAAGCTCTCAGCATCCCAAAGACTACATGTAGATGTAGGAACAACTTTAGAAACAAGCCTTTAGGATAAGTTGATTCAAAATTAGGGGAAAAAGAAACTATATTAACCTTAGAACACCCCAGCTATGACGTTGTTGAAAGACAACACACAAGACCAGGGAAAATGGCCACCAGAATGCAAAGAGATATACCACCATCTATATCGACAGATACCAAGACTTTTGCTCCGACCGCACACTGCAATCAGAGTAAAGTATTTCCTCCTTTATCTTTCTCTTATTTTCTCTTGTGTTGGACCTCTTGGTCCAACCTCGTCTGTGGTCGTCCAAGACCACAACTTTGATTTGTTTCATCGGTTAGATTCGCTTCCGGTGTAGGCTGACTCCAAGGATATTGTTGAATTCCTGGAGTGCCATGTTAAGGGTTTCTTGCAATTGCAAGAATGAGGTGAAGGGATAGGTGGGATTTGGTCAGGATCATGAGGAATTGATAGCGCTGACAAAGTATTCGGGAAAATGAGGCGCCGAGGGGATTGATTGACGTCATTTCATAGGTGTAGGAGAGAATGGGAACCGAAAAGGGCGAATGGCTTTACGCCTCCGACGCCCAGCGGGACTCGCGCAACGGCATCTCCTCGCCAGCTTGTTTGCGGCTTCCGTCTACCTCGCGCTTCCACGCGTAGTACTCGCCGAGACGGGTCTCAGCGTAGCTGGCGTAGTCGAAATCAATCTGGGAGATTTGCGCTTGGATGAGTGCCCAAACACCCCTAGGAGATATTTTTAGCATGATACGCCCATTACGCTTTTTCATTTTGTCAATTTGTTCGCTGAACTCACCAGTAGAGACCGGGGATGCCACGGAAGCGGTCAACATCTTCGTACAGCCGGTCGACAATCTCAGCTTCGTATGAAGCGTCAAGACCGCGTTGTTCACAGTAGCTCTTCGTATAATCAGTAAGGAACTGACGGCGCACAGACTTTGTCGGCATCATGTTATAATCGCAATCGTAGCCACCCCACTCAGCAAGGTGGTTGGAGATATCGAAGGCCGCGGGCGCAGGGACCGCATATTCATAATCGATGAAGTTGACAGGCGCGATACTGTCTTCGGTTGTAACACCATTCTCGCTCGGGAGGACAATGACATTGGCACAGAGGAGATCGCAGTGCGAGAAGACGAGCTATAAACCCAGCGGTTAGCCATATATCCAACAACGCAACGTCCGTTTCCAGCAGACCGGGACCGGGAGACACATACCCCGTCTTCACCTATTCCCTTCCCATCATCCAGAAGTTCCAGGGCCCACTGCAGCTCTGCCTGCAGACTCAACCGACGAGCGCGCTGCTCGGGGGTGGTGACTGGTAAAGCCAACACCCACTTCTGCAGCACAGCCCACATAGACGGGCCCGCGCGCCGAGGCTGGATTACGGTGATCTCATCGTCCTGGATGTCCACAATCTTGGTCACAGAGAAGACATCCTCGATAGGCGCGGCTCCGCTACTAGGTAGGCCGGCGTGCCACTGCGCCAGGCGGCGGGCGACACCACGCCAGATGGGCGGGGAAACTAGATCCTGGTGGCCGCAGGGTCGGCCTCGGATGAAGCGGTAGAGCAGGCCGTTTTTGAATCGAGCGAGGAGGGGCGGGGCTAGGCCGCGACTGGCCAAAAGTGCGTGGGACTTGGTTTCTCCTAAGAATAATTGATCTACTTCAGCATATGTCGCAATGGGCAAAGGAGGCGCGGAGGGGCTGTTTTGTGGGTTGAGAAGTGGGGGTTTTGACGAAGGTTATCCGTCGGGGGGATTATGCTCGTACTTTCGCGATCTATGAGGATCTCTGTGCCATTTCCGTACGCCCTCATCAGTACTGCCTCATTGTCTATTTGTTCCTCCGTCAGGCCCGGTCTCAGGTTGATAATTTTCAGGAGCTAGGAATCTGTTAGTCGCAATTGGATTCTGATAACCCTATTGCTGGTCCCGTGGGAAACGGCACTGGGAAAAGAAAGAGAGACACACGGTGTTGGTGATGCCGTCGGTGAATCGCACGAACTCAATGTTGTTGCCAGGACCTTCCCAGTCGGGATTGAGGGTCAGGATTAGCCTGAGAGCAGATGCTTGAGAGTCGGCATGGTTGTATAATAGGGGAATGTATCGAAATTCTGGCGCGGTCGCCTGAGTCTCTGTCGAGCCCATGCTGGAGTTGAGTGGAGCGGAGGTGGAAAAAGGGGTATGGGCGCGAGTTGGTTTGGGTATCGGGACAAATCGTGTACTATTAAATTAGTCCACAACTGCTTGAGAGGCACCGCCTCTATATAGTGACAATGTCCTGATACCAAGATTTAGGCAATTGCACAAGTCTAGGCGGCTAGCGCAATGTGCGAAATAGAGATAAAATTTTGGAAAGGAACAGAGCACAAGGTGGAAAGGCGGATTCTGTATTATGGCGAAGGTACAAAAGATTCAGGGGCGAAGAATTTGAAGACGCTATGGATGGCGGGGAGGTTAATTGAGACAGCGAGGGGAGGAGGTCTCGTGCTCCCGACCCGTGATTGGAAGATGTGATTATTTGCTGGGGCCCAGGGTACTTAGAGGACAAAAGGGACTTTTCCACTACCAACTACTACTAGTGGTACATGGATGTATATATTTTCATTTGTTTGAGATGTGAACCTATTGGATAACTGTAGAAAGATTTCTTAATGTCGTATTGCTCGTTTCAATTGCAGTTTGGCAGGGAACTAGTAGTACTCGAGTATCTCGAATGTGTACCTACTTGTTGTACTTTGTATTGTAGGGCAAGTCACGGGACGATCACATGAAAGACATTGAAAATTAAAGAGGGTCTGGAGTCACATGCACTTATGAAGCCCTGAGATTAGCCCTACTTACCCAATCTGAGAAAATCCCTCAACAAAAAAAAGGAGAAATTAGTCATAAAATCCAATATTAGTCAACAAAATGGAAAAATACTTACACCGAGACCCAATCAGCACTAGCGTATATCGACTTCCAAATGCATAAATAGGATCTCCTCGCCCGCGCCTTTACTCTTTTTTCTTTTCTCTCCATCATCAGTAGAGGTTTACATAACTTAATGTAAATTTCAACGGGGCTCCACAATGTGGCTTGCTGAGGGTTATCCTATGGTTTCGACCATCATGGGTTTTCTTCCGTTCCCGGCCCTGGAGAGCAAAGGCGTCTCTCTTTTTCCCAATCACTTTATGGCTATGCTAGGGTATCCTTCGGGAAGCCCCATGGGTGCTAGCTGTGGAGAGGGCGTCACATACCATTTTTTTCAGTCACTTTTATGTGATCTGAGTTGTCTCTGCTTGCTCTGATCTTCTCAAATTTGATCAGAGGTTGCAACGACCGTAGCGTTGGATATCTCACGATCTTCAACTGGTAATTGGCACGCGGTGTAAATGTACGTTGTGTACATACAAGTCGTCTTAAAAAGAGCTTCGTATGCCTCGCTAGGTTTATGAGCTCTTGCGATGCCGTATCTTTATATAAGATCAAACCTATAATGTTCGGGTTGTTCTTGCCAAGATATATATCGTTGATGTCGGCATGCTGAGCACCTCTCAGGCTATGTATGTGTGTCATGGTTGAACACCTGCTACGTATACGGAGTACTGCTGGAGCGAATATCTCAATTGTCATCATCGTCATAACCGTTGAAATTTTCTATCGTGTAGACTTTTTTTTAGATACATGTCCCCAATCAAGCATGTCCTGCATTGCCAATCTGGATGCGCTGTCCAGTCCACTTGTCATCACTGCGCAATACCGGCCAGCTAGTACCGTCAGCCTTGATCAAGCTCAAATCTAGCTTGGTGCCTAGCACGCGGAAAGTTGACTTCTCCGCGTCAATTGGCGCAAAGAGAGTATATGTATCCTGATAGCGCTTGTTGTCCGTGGTAGGAAGGTCAAAGATAATCGAGTTGGCAGCAAACTCAACCTTGGCCCGTTGCTTGTCAATCTTCTTAAGGTAGAGGGAGACGTTGACGGCGGTGGGAGTCTGGTAGAAATCGTTTCTGTAGAATGCCAACGTATATCAGCTTGTCGTTTCTCAAACAAAATAGCAGAGCTGGTCCGCCTGTCTTGGCTTATACGCACCTGACTGTGTCCACCTTCTCTTCGCCCGCGGGCTTGGCCTTGCCAACAAACATGTGCCTCGTCTTCTCTGTGCAGCCGGGGATCTTCAAAAACTCATCGAACTCGAGCACCCGGCGTTTGCAGCAGGACCACCCCTTGCTGCCCTCGTGGAAGACCGGTTGGCCCGGGTGGTGGACGCACTTCTCCTCATCGCGAGCAGTAGACCCGGTATAGGACGCGCCGCAACCCCTCCGACGGCACGTTGCGTTAGCCGGAATCTCCACATCAGGGTCATCAGACTCAGGCTCCTCGATGACTGGCTTCTCAGGCGGCGCTGAAGTTGCGATAGTCGGGGTAGCGGAGACGGGCAGCCGCTCAGACTTCTTCTGCTCAGCCGGTGTAGGAGGAGCAATGACTTCCTCAGCCTTGGGCTTGGGGACGGGGGTGTCGTCGACGGTGGAATGCTTCCCGGTTGTGCACGGCGGGATGGCGAGGAATTCCTCAAAGGTCAAGACGCGGGGCTTGCAGCATTTCCAGCCTGAGAAGTTAGCAGTGCCGCGGGGTAGAAACGTAGCGGAAGCTAGAAACACGATCAGGCGTCACATTGCGCTGCCGCAATGGTCCCCTGTGAACCCTTGGTGGACTCAAGGGATACGAATCTGGAATAGCTTGAACACCAAGGTACTTACCTTTCTGCCCCTCGTGGAACACTGGGGGACCCGGATGATACACGCAGTCTTCTTCCGGGTCGGTGAAGGTCTTTCCACACGCTTTGTGGACGCACTTGCCTGCCATGATGTATAGCAAGACAGATATTATGAGAGAATTGGCAGGACTGAGTCGAAAGAGAAGACTGTAAAGTGTTCTGGAGGGAATGGCGCAGGTTGCCTAACAGGGTTTAGCGGGGGAGCTCGAATGTTCCATCGCGGAGAACTCTCTGACCGCATTCGCGTCGCGGCACCTGTCATATTGAAAACCCCTGTGGTTGAATTCATTTCTTGTATAATTGATATTGTTTCTCCATGTTTCCTACGCGTGCCCTTCTCAGTCCAGCCCGCCTGACGCTGTTTACACGCGCAGGCTGTGGCCTGTGCGATACTGCCAAAAACACTGTGCTTCAGCTCCAGAAACGGCGCTCCTTTGAATATGTCGAAGCGGACATCATGGAACCCGGAAACAAATCTTGGAAGGATGTCTACGAGTTTGATGTTCCAGTTCTCCACGTCCAGTCAGTTCACAACGGGCTGCCCAAGGAGGCCAATCTCTCCGACGCACGCAAATTGTTCCATCGATGGACAGAGAAAGAAGTCGAGCGATCGGTGGACGAAGCGGAAAAAACACAGTCCAGATGATTTATTTTGGACGAGCATTATATGTTCAACTGTCCCGATTCCCGTGGTCCGCTGGCGGGAACCATTACATACCGGGGGATTCTCTTATATTGAGGGATATCGTGATACCGACGCAGTAATGCATCTGACGCTTGTCGCATTATCTTAGCATACTCCTGTCTCTAGTTCTGTTCGCAGGATTTAGCTGTCCCTCCTATACATCCTGCAAGGGGTATACTTCTGTATGTATTTGATATATCTTTGACCGTCAGTTGGATGATGGCAGATCCACCCATGATGTGCTCAGGTGCCCCATCATTGTACAATATATGTAGTCTTTGTTCTCCATGGACATCTTAATGTGTTGATTGTCTGCTTGATCTGTAATTACAATCTGTTTTGCTACCCAAATTGACCTCATCTGGCTATTTTGTACAAATAACCCAATACTTGTGGTATTCGCCACAGCTCAGTCATTCTTTTTCGTCTTAAAGTACCTGAGTGAACTGATGATTCGAAAAATAAAACCTTCTAAGCGCACGTTTTTTACTTCTGTACTTTTAGATGGGTATCATAGGGCTAGTTATTACCGGCATTGCCTGTATGCAACATAGTAGTAGTTAGTAGTTATAGGAGATTGTTTAACAAATACGATATTAATTTTTAACACCGGACTCTTTATACTCCTAAGTGTTAAGTCTTGACTCTTGATTTCTTACTATCTTAATATCTTACTAACTGAATCTGAACTGAATCTGAATTGAATCTGAACTGAATCTGAACTGAATCTGAACTGAATCTGAATTGAATTGAATCTATAAAGTGTATAGTATAGAAATAGTTCACCGCGAACCATAACTATTACGGGCGACTATGCCCTCGCATGACACGGACTGGGATCTCATGTAGTCGATCACCTCACGTGAAATGGCTGTTCGCTCTTTAAGCTTTGATGCTTGTTCGCAACTCTCTTGGAAGTTGCGCAGCAGGATGTCAATTCTTGTAAGCTCCTCGCTCATCGTAGTGAGCGACCTCGACAAGACGGTAGCGGCAGATATACCTCGCACGTTACCGTTCATCAAGCGCGGGGCTGTCCAGGCAGCGACCAGGATGAGGGCAGCAGCGTAGAGATATTCGAGCACCTCACATTTATCGTGCTCATTTGGGCGACCCTGCCGTAATGGTATTGGCAGATATACCTCGCGCGGTACCATTCATCAAAAGTGGGACCGTTCGGGCAGCAACCAAAATCAGTGCTGCAGCGTAGAGGTATTCAACCATCTCACACTTAGTGTTACCAGCCAGGTCTTTGAATGAAAGAGTGCATTAAACGAGAAAAGCAAAGATGGGGAGAAAAGAAGAAGAAGTGTAGAGAGAGATCTAGAGGGATTCTTATAGCCGTGCCAGGCGCCCAACAACCTTCCGGTTGTTGGTGCGCCCCACCAGATACCCATTTCTCACCAGATACCCAAATTCCAATTTTATGTATCTTTTGTATGACTTGCCCATACAAAAGGTACCTAGACACCCCGTAGGCATAACATGCATTTTCTCAGCACTCGAACTAGTAAGGGAAGATACAAGAAGATATATATAGTGTAAAAGAAGTCTATATTATTTAACTAAACTTTGGTAACCAATATTAAGTATACTAAAATAAAGAAAGTAGTTATGTCTACCATATGGCTTTCATAAAGTGTCATTTTAAAATTTTATATTAGATACTAAGAATTTATAATTACTACCATTCAACTAATTAAGCTAGACTTTTAATATATATTCGTACACTTTCTATTACTTTAGCTAGTTCGAGTGCTGAGAAAATGCATGTTATGTTTACAGGGTGTCTAGGTACCTTTTGTATGGGCAAGTCATACAAAAGATACATAAAATTGGAATTTGGGTATCTGGTGAGAAATGGGTATCTGGTGGGGCGCACCAACACCAGGGGGAAGCTGGATCTCTGCAAACATCAGACCCTTTCCCAAATAGGCTTAGTAGGCATGCCCAATTAGGCATAGTAGCACTCCATCAAACAAAGAAAGAAAGCAAACAAAGAACGATCTTGACATGTGATAGCATGTGAGAATTGTCGATCGTGACACTTAGCAGATTCATGCCACCTTTGACTTAATTATTATTGGTTTATACTGCCTGTCCGCTTTCAACACCGCCTTCTCGAAGCATATACTAGTTAATTAATTTCTCTCTATTTGTATAGCCGGGGCGCCCTTCTATTGATCTTGAACCTTATAAAAATGAAATTACTACTACTCTTTCGGCTTTAATATTAGCCCTTATATATTATAAAGGCTCCGGCTCCGGTTCCGGTTCCGGCTTAGTATTCGTCGTCGTATATAAACAAAATCTTACGGCCTAACGAATAAGGCGATGAATATATATTTCTACTAGAGGGTAGGTCAAGTGGTAGGCGTTGACCGCCCTACCAACACTTCCCACAATAACTAGTACAAGTTTGTATACTAGTAAAAAGATTCAACACCGAGAAATACGTATATACGGGGATTTGTATAGTAGGAATAGCTCTGTGTTTTTGAACTTAGATACTTCGCTTATTGAACCCTCTGTCATAATTCATGTATTTATTTTAATTCATGCAAGTCTAGAATAAGGCAGAATCCAAGCACAAATATACTGCAAAATCAGGCATTCAAACCTTGGAATGGTCTTTAGATGACTAATCTCGAAAATTACAATACCCGGTTCTTGCCAAGTAACCCAACCCCCCTGCGCTTGCCAAGTAACCCAACACCTACTTGGCAAGAACCGGGTAATAACTAAGTCAAGAGTGGCATGAATAGTCGCCCGTAATCATCCCAAGTCCGAGCAACGGACACTAATACTGTTACCTTCATAGATGCACTTCTTCATTAAATCGATTCAGTGAACTGAACCTGGCAATGGCTGATCAAACGCCAATGGCCAATGGCGCTCACATTTTGCAGCCACCATCGGCTCCATCGTCAACGACTTATCCAGCACAGTCCACCCACCAGTTGGGATTTCCTTGTGTGAGATGCAAGGCAAGGCATAGGCGCTGTGATCGCAGTAGACCAGGTAAGTACCCCATGACTTGATAGGGCAAGGAGGATTGCGAGTGCATTGATGACTGACTATTTACATAGCCTGCCAGTCCTGTCAAAGCGTGGGCCTCGAAGCAGAATGCAGATATCCTTCTGCGGCCTTACCAGTGTATGTCTATCCGTGATATGAGTTTGGTCGAGTGGAAATGACTGATTTTATATCATTTAGTACCCAGAATAAAAGTGCCGAGGACGGAATCACCAAGAAGACTGGTGCTCCATTTTCAGAGCCAATGTTCAATAATGCCTCTGCTTTACCCACAACGGGTGACAAAAGACCAAGAGCTACACATAGTCCTTCTGAACGGACCGAGCATGTCAATGATGTGGTTGGATCAACCATCCAACATGATTTCAGCCATGCTCAGCAGACGCAGATACCCCATCGGCCTCCTGCGAAACGGCAAAAGATATCCGAACTTGGCTCTGGAGGTGCCGCTAAGCAATCTGCGTTAGAACAGGGTCAAAACACACCATTTGGCACCGGTATGCCCAGTGGAAGTAGACCGGCTCCTCCACTGCGTAGCATATCTCCCACTCTGCCTCATGATGAAATGGAGCTCCGGTGCAACTTGACTACCGAAATCAACGTCCAGAGAATGAAAGGTCGCAATCTTGCAGCAGGGCCTTTGCGCAACATCGTCAAGCTACTCATGAAAGCTAAGACTGAACGCCCAACCACTGAACCCAAAATTGCTGGATCGAGTGCCGCATCATTGAATGATGAGTGGCGTGAAGAAGATGATCTCATGCAAAATGCAACAGTCAAGCTGGAAAAGGGTGGCAGATGCTCCCGTGCTCTTCTTAGCCGCTTTGAAAACTTCTTATATGGCCCATTGATGAGCCCCGAGGAAAAGAAGATGCAAGAGCGTATCATATGTGTTGAAGAGTGCTTGTCAAGTGCATCGGCGGCTCCAACATCCGATCACAACCACCTGTTCCTCCAGCGCCTAAAAAGGATCATATTTGATCTTGATTCCTATGGCTTGGACGAGAAAGACCCACGTAGAGGTGTCCTCTGCACTCAGCTTCTTACAGCCATAGGGACCGACTCGAAGCTGAGTCCTTCAAATCGTAGGAAGTTTGCAGAACTTTTAGACCCAGATGGAGAGATTGCCAATGTCAGCACCGGTAGTCCAGGTGTCAAAGCAGAAACTCCGATCTCAACAAGGAAGGTGCCACCCAAGCCTACCTCTCCACGCGTGCCTTCCTCACACACGCAAGAAACACCCTCAACAATAACAACAACAACAACAAAAACTCATCCTCCTCTTTTCCCCTCTTCTTCTTTTCATCCTCCTCTTTTCCCATCTTCTTCTTCTCATCCTCCTCTTTTCCCCTCTTCTTCTTCAACAACAACTCATCCTCCTCTTTTCCCCTCTCGTTCTTCATCTACACCAACACCACCTGTGAGACCCATTGATTTGACTGACGACACCATGCCGTCGTCCAATCCCTTCATCCGCCCCAAGAGGCGTGTTACTTCTGGTAGTCAGTCGTCGCAATCCAACGACACTGCGTCGCCTTCCATGGAGCCGGCGTCCAAGAAACGTCCTGCTTCTGGCGGCCGGTCTGACAACATGGCTGCCCCGGCTTCCAAGCGTGCTGCTTCTGGAACCCAGTCGTCGAACTCTAACAGCAGCCAGTCTGACAACGTGGCTGCCCCGGCTTCCAACCCTGCTGCTTCTGGAACCCAGTCGTCGAACTCTAACAGCAGCCAGTCTGACAACATGGCTGCCCCGGCTTCCAAGCGTGCTGCTTCTGGAACTCAGTCATTGAACGCTTACAGCATCCTCGGCACGTCTCTTAAGCATGCTGATGACCCCAATGCCGCAGAGAAACTTTGGAAAATCTTCATTGCGGATGAGGCTCCTATCCTGCCCATCCTCAATCTCGAACAACTCAAAGTCGAATTCACCCTGGCCGTGAGCAATGGGAGGGTCGGACTCACAGTCATTGACCCAACTTTCGGGCTTTGCATTGCAATTGCCTGCCACCTGACTGATGATAACGGTCTCTGGGAAGGCCACAAATGGTACGATGCAGCTCTATCCAACATGGGTGATGCCCCCACAACCCGACCTTCGTTTCAATGGTTCCATCGCCAAATCCTCCAAGTCCACTATCTCCATATGGTCGGGCACCTGAAAATGGCCTGGGATATCTTATCTATGGCTATCGGCAGAGCGCAGTCTCTTCGGATGCAAACTATGCGTGGTGGATGTCTCGCCGTAGACGAAGAATCGTTGGAGCAGGTTCGGTTGGTATGGCAGTGTCTCTGGACGAAGAAACTGTCTCTCACTCTCCAGCTTGGCGTTGTGGACCAATCCCTCGACAGCTTTTACAGCTCACCCATGCCGATGCAGTCGCATATCACTGATAACATGGGAGAATATAGCGGTCAAGTCGTGGCGCCATCTTCCTTTCTTGTTGCCTATGCTTCTCTCTTCAAATACACTGACGACTTGATCACCGTTGAGAATGATCTACGTGTGACTCGCATGGAATGCCCGATCAAATGGCTTTCCAGTGTGGACCTGTCTGGCTTCCAGGAACTCAATGAAAAACTCTCGAACTGGAAGGACGGTCTACCTAAACGCCTGGAATGGACAGGCATCGGCTCTGACAGGCAGAAAAGCCCTGTTGCTATCCGCATGTGCATCCTGTCTCATGTGCGATATATCTATTTCCGACTTCGTCAATACCGGCCTTTCTTCATTCTGAGCCTGCGACTTTCCCAAAAATGCGCTTGTGAAACGAGCCCCCATCTCACTGGGGCGGACCTTGATTCGATACATGCGTCTCCTTTCCTCGGCCTTGTCTATTACAGTGCAGTCAAATGCTTGATTGCCGCCCAAGAAATTGTCAAGACCCTCAATGCATCCTATGCCATCATGAAAAAGGAGCCTGCTAAGTATGAGATGGTTGAATACCTCTACGCCGCAGCACTCATTTTGGTTGCTGCTCGAACGGTCCCACTGTTGATGAATGGGGCCGCGCGAGGGATATCTGCCCTGCCCACGACGATCAGCGAGGAGCTTTCTGGGATTGACATCTTGCTTCGCAACTACCAAGAGAGTTGCGAACAGGCGCCAAAACTTCAGCAGAGAATAGCACGTTCACGTGCTGCGGTCCAATATCTCACATTGCAGTCCGTCTCATGTGAGGGCGTAGTCACAGACAACCGGGTCAAATTCAAGCCAGTGGTCTGGGGTCGGATATATGACAGACTCGACATCGACCTTCCCTTCCCTATGTTCTTAGACCGCTGTCCCTCTAAAGGTATTTCTGCGGATGGCTCTGTGGTGTCAGGCCGCAGAAAGACCTTCGGCTGGTTGGAAAGTCTGACGACGGACCACGTCAACTAACTAGAGGTATTTCTGTTGACCATTAGGCCGCGTAGGGATTTCAATGTTTGTACGGAGTAATCTACCCTTGTAATAATTTAGTTGCAAAAAAGAAAAAAAAAAAAAAAAAAACATTCTCCCTTCTAAATGATTGTTTTGATATATGAATATGTGCGCTTGGTCGTGGAAGTCTAAGTTGTAAATAATTGACCGATCAAGCCTTTGGGGGGTTACGGGCGACTGAGTATGCCTCCGGCACATAACTCTCTCATTGGTTCATGTTATATTGCATTTGGATCTACTCTAACTTTACAAAAACTAACTAACTAATGTTGTATGTTGTAACTACTAGTTATTGATTGAAGCTTACCGATGCTTAAAAGATGTCTGAATGTCTGAATACCTAGATTATAAGCTTGATAAAATTAATGCCTTCTAAAATGGGCATAGAGACTTTTAAAGTAAATTAAATTTGAAGTGAATCTGAAGTGAATCTGAATTGAATCTGAATTAAAAATGAATTGAATTTGAAGAAAATTGGATCTCTTGGCCGCTAGTTTAGGGGTGGGTGAATCTTTAGGGTAGTCTGCTATAGGTAAGCCATACAGGCCGTGATGAAAAGGCAGTGAGGTAATAACCAATGACAGAGTTATGTGCCGGTGGCATATTTAGTCGCCCATAGGGGAGAAGCCCATTGATAGGGTGTGTGTGGCATTGGATAGTAAAGTAGTATAAAAATAAAATCCATCCTGGGTAGGGGGAATCGAACTCTAGACAGTTAAATTGGTATTTCCTAATTAGGAAATGGTCCTATATAGGTCACTTTAAAGAAGTGCTATTACCTCCAAACCCTCCCCCGTTACTTAGTGGATGGCGCTCGGAAGTCTACCGTGTGATACTGAGTAGTATATACCTTTACTGTTCTGGGCTTCATGACCCCGGGGCTAGTATAGAGTCGCTATGCACTCTTAAGGTTGATCATTGAGTAGATGGAAGTACCGCCACACCCCTAGGTGGGGCCAAGTTCGAAGGGGGTTGGCGGTCCCAACGAAGGAGGTTTTATGGGTTTGGGGGCCCTCCTCTTTTTTTTTTCTTCTTCTTTCTTTCTATGTTGATTATATCAATGTTGATATTAACCGGCCCCAATCAATAGAAGAGGAACTACTTTACTATTCAATGCCACCACATACACCCTATCTCTATTCAGTTCTATGCCTCTTAAGTTTCCTACTTAATGCTTAATCAGTCAATTACTGACAGCGAGTCAGGAGAAGAGAAGAGATCAGCAATGCAATTGTATTGAGGCTAACTGCTGATGGTTGATCAATGTGGTTGATGAGAAGGGGAAAAGAAGAAGAGAGAGGAGAGGAGACTATCTGGTTATTGACATGTGACAGTTCTGACAAACAAGGTCATGTGCCATGATCCTAACAATTACTTACAACTTAAGACTTCCACGATTATGCAGGTGTATGGCGGCCAGGAGTCGGATGAGGTTTGTAATGGTATTGGTGCCTGAATATGCCTGATTCCTTACCGCTTTTTTATACCGCTCTATACAGTGTATTGTAAATGAAGCTCCATCGCCCATCGCCTACTAGCTGATGAAGCCCCCTCCGACCGGTCATATCGCCTTGTCTTACGATAGTGAAGCTATTTATAGTCGAGGGGAGCTTCGAATCGCGGCTAGAGCAAGCGTGTAAGATTGGGTAGCGGGAAGGATTCAATGCCTGAAATTCGGGAATCATGGGATTTGTATGGATGTGAATAACGTCACATTTGATGCCCATCTTTTAAGGTGTTGATCTTATCAACCTAAGGAATTGAAGAATTCAAGTACTTTGCTTACTAAGGGATGTGTTATGGTAATTCAGGTATTTTTATTTTCTGCCAGATTTAATTTAGGTGTCTGCCGAAACTTTCAGGCACCAGTACCATACATAACCGCATCCGGCCGCCATACACCTGCGTACACGATCAAGCGCACATATTCATATATCAAAACAATCATTTAGAAAGGAGAGTAGTATGTAATATAATATCGGTATCTCAACATCGAAAGAAATAAGAAGAAGAAGAAAAAAAAAGAGGGCCCCCAAACCCACAAACCGCTCTCCGTCCGTTGGGACCGCCAACCCCCTTCGAACCGCAGTACCGGCCATTTACCCTAAGGGTGTGACAGTGCTAAGTCAACCATTGCTCAACCTTAAGAGTGCATAGCGACCTTATGAACTAGCCCCGGGGTCATAAAGCCCACACCTCGGAACTAGCAATATAGGTATATACTACTCAGCATTCACACGGTAGACTTCCACGAGCCAGTCCACTAGGCTAGCCAGGGTGGGTTTGGAGGTAACAGCACTTCTTTAAAGTGACCTATATAGGACCATTTCCTAATTAGGACATACCAACTTAACTGTCCAGAGTTCGATTCCCCCAACCTAGGATGTATTTTATTTTATACTAACCCTCAATTTCTATCTCCAACCCATCTAGACCACCTATCAATCTCAAACTGGCTAGGAACAACCCGTCAATACCTCACCGTGTTCCTTCTCTTTCTTGGTTGCTTGACTGACACCAACGACTTTACAGAGAGTCATATAGCTTCTCGCCTACACCACTCGCCCAGCCACATTACACCTTTTTATAGCTTCCACGATATCCCCATTGCGGTACCCTCCCCGAGTCTTCAATTCTCCGTTACATGCATTGTCACACCCAACCTGTGAATTGCCACATGGAACTTGGAGGTCGGCAACATCTTGACAGAGAGTCATTCCCTCATTTGTCGCAAATGCCTCTCTTGTCTGCGATTGATTCATATACGACTTCGAAAGTCCTCCCGTTTGCTTCCATAATGCCCATTCTCTTTTGAGTCTGCGTGCGGATGAAATTGACAAATAACTCTCCGCGACTGAATCGAGAAAGACAACTCACCCGACTTTCAATTCCTCAAATACCTAGGAGTCTCCAACACCGAACTGATTCTTCCTTCCAAAACCATATGCCTCGCATCGCCACTCAAAGAACTTCGTGTCCGCAGTTGCCAGGGGACTTTTGACACACAGCACAAACCGGGGAGCTTGCATCTTACAACTACACCTCTCAGTGTCTTTCCTTCGGGTCTTTCCTTCGCCAAACCCGCGTTATAGAGACTCACAGGGTAATTGACCGGCATCGAGTACCTAAGGGGGCGACGGTCCCAAGGGGCTGGGGGTAAACAGCGGGTCTGCGCCTCTTCATCTTTTGCACATTGGCTTCTCAATCCAAGGTTACGACCTTGGGACTGACAGCAGCATTTTCACACCGACTGATCCATCGAATGCAGTGACATGCCAAAGATAGTGAGAGCCAATCACATACCCCCAAGATCTTGCCTTATTATCTTTGATTGTTAGGGCGTAATGATTGGAGCGTTCATCCGAATGTGGTGACATGCTATTACATCTGCGCGAATGCTCACGGCACTAGATATTCGAACATAAAGCCTGCGCCCATTTACCTTCTGGAGCTACTTCTTTTCCAGTTATCATTTTAATCAACCAGAGTCACAATATGGACCCAACCCCAATATACCATCATATCCAAGATCGTTATGGTGAATTGGCCGATCGATCTTCCACCAACGAGCAGAAGGAAGCCGAGAAGAATATTGCCCAAGCATTTGGCTACGACTCTGCAGACCTCAGGTCAATTCCCCGGGCTGCAAACCTTGGAGTGAGCTGTGGGAATCCCTTGGCCCTAGCTAACTTGCGAGAGGTGTGTTGACGACGACCGATCCTATCTATCTTGTGCCTGCCTAACATTTTGTTCTAGGGCGAAACAGTGATTGATCTCGGGAGTGGCGGTGGCATCGACGTCCTGCTGGCAGCCAAAAAAGTCGGCCCGAAAGGGAAAGCCATTGGTGTGGACATGACGAAGGTGAGAATCTCCCTTCTATCAACGACTTGAGATAACACCCCCCGCTAAGACAAATTGGCACAGAGCATGCTTGAGCTCGCTCGCAAAATGCGCAGAAAGCGGGTGGTTTCAACGCGTCCTTCATCGAAGCTTCGATCACGTCTATCCCTCTGGCAGACGCCACCGCCGACTGCATTATCAGCAACTGCGTAGTGAATCTCGTTCCTACAGCTGATAAGCATCTTGCGTTCAACGAGATGTTCCGCTTGCTGGGACCCGGAGGCCGTCTTGCCATCAGTGATATCCTGACTCGAAGGGAACTCCCCCAAAAGTGGTCAACAGTCTATCTTTCTACGTGGGATGCATCGCAGGGGCGAGCCAGGTCCATGAGTATGAGAAGTACCTCCCCGAGGCAGGATTCAAAAGTATTTACTGAGGTGTGATTGTGCTTTGTGCGTTTTGCTAACCATCCATATTCCCTTAGATATCGTGATTGTTGATACCCACAGTGACATCAACATTTACAAAGATTTGGTTCAGGGTCAGATGGATTCTGGAGAGACAAACGACCGGTCGGAACCATCCGGTTGCTGTGGAGGAGCACAAGAAAAGAATGACACTGAGGAAGACTTGCTGGAGTGTGACTTCAATGAATGGGCTGGTGAGTCGAGGCTTTTCGATTGTTGAACCAATACTGACATTCATACAGGCTCGTTTCAAATTTATGCGGTCAAGCAGTAGGGTTAGTTGAAATTGAACCGACCGATCTCAAGATATTTCCGTCAACACCTTAAGAAGGACTTGATTATCCACCCTGCATCCCTCCAGCGGACTATTGCCTTGTTTGAAACCACTCTCCATCCGGAAGTACAAGACATCCAATTCCACGCCTTTGGTATTGCATTGGATCACCCATTGACATGCTAAAGAGCACAGAGTTGTATTCATGTTGCCCGGAGCGCTTGTCTCTGTGGACGTCTGGGTCCTTTGATACGGGCTAGACTCAAGATCAGGTTCTGTCGGTTCTGCCAGAACATCCAAATTGGACAAATCATTGTCCTCGTTCAATAGTAAAGGAATATTAAAATCAAGTCCCATGTCAGGCGATAGACCCGAAGAGTCCCATTGCTCCCAGAATGACAAGGGAGTTGGATTTTCCATAGATTGGTGAGTCTCCTCGCCAGTAACAACCGAGCCCGTGATCTTGAAATAGTCAGAAACTGAAGACCATGATTGTTGAATCTGGTGACCCTACCGCTGAAGCCATGTTGGGTTCGCTGTCGTGAATGCTATCGGGAGGTGCATCCACAGAGTCGAAGTTGAAGCCTAAGGTAGCCAGTAACCCTCTCATCCAGGCATTTTCGGACTGCAATTCATCAAATGTCGATAACGATGAGGGAGGTGTTGATGAAATTAACTCGTCGTATTTCTTTGCTTTTTCCTCTAAATCCCGAATATAGTCTAGTCGTTTTGCCCTTGAGCGCCGTTGATTATTACGAATGCGGGCGAGATCTTCGCTCTACACGAGTAGAGTATGAGTAGGATGAAATCAAAAAGAATAAAAACATGCGACGAGCCATAGGTAACCGACCTTGGTCTTGGTTTTTGTGCGAGGCATAGTCAAAGTTGGACTGGAGTAACAAAAGGTCTTTGTACCAGCTAACACCTGTGGTAGAGAGATGAAGTTGAAGATATTCAACCTCCCAAGGTTGGGAACATTATGATATTAGGGTGAATAGAAGGTGGAGAAAGAAGCGGAGGGGGAAGTTGGTGTCGTCCAATGAAATGAAAGTGGCATGTCACTGATTAAACAGCCCTATACGGGCTGTTTCTTCCAATAATTAGTATTGATAGTATCTATATATTAGGTAGTCTACATTTTTGTCCTAGTCATTCCACCCAGCTCGTCTAGCTATAAATTTGACAGCATATACCAAACCCAACAACACAGGAACCTCTATGAGAGGCCCAACAGTCGCAGCAAGAGCCTGGTTGCTATCTGCGCCAAACATCGCCACTGCAACAGCAATTGCTAATTCAAAATTGTTGCTGGCAGCAGTAAAGCTCTGCACAGTGGCCAGCTTATAGCCGAAACCCAATTTGTATGCGACAAGGAGGGTTGCAAAGAAGATGACCAGGAAATAAACGATGAGCGGTGCGGCGACTCGGACCACAGAGACGATTTGGTGGACCACATGGCGACCTTGCGAGGCGAATAACACAAGGATTGTAAACAGCAGGCCGATGAGAGACCATGGGCTAAGCCATTTGAGAAAAGTTTCATCGTACCACTTCGCAGAAATTCGTCGGAGTACGAAACGCGTGAGGATTGCGGCCCCGAGAGGTATTCCGAGAAAAACCGCAACACTCTTGGCGGCTGTTGAATATTCGAAAGTGACTGGATCGCCACTGATGACGCTGATAAAGAATACCCCCATTGGAGCGAAAAGAACCATCTGCAGGACCGAGTTGAGAGCGACGAGGATGGCACAATATTCGTTATCACCTCCAGCTAGCCCTGTCCAAACTAGGACCTGATAGAAGCTAGGAGTTAGCATAATCTCGTTTCCAAGAACCAGTTAGTGAGTGGTTTAGACCTACCATAGCAATGCACCGTGCCAATCCAACAATGATCAGTCCCTGTCGCAATTCTGGCTCGTCGGGCAAAAACGCCCAAGCCAAGGCCAGCTAATGAAACCAAGTTAGTGATATACTCCGTGCCATGTGAGTGCTGGGGTTACGAACCATAAGGAAAGGGGCGATAATCCAATTCAGAAGAATACTGAAGGCCATCTGGATCCAAATATCCTTTGCTCGGAAAACATGATGCAGGGATTCGAACCGAATCTTGCACAGGATAGGGTACATCATGACGAGAAGACCCACAGCTGGAATATTCAGTCAGTAAAGACAAAAAGAGTGTTGAGAGTTGTTTTCACGTACCGATTGGAACGGAGACTCCTACAAATTTTCCCCTTTGTAGGGCAGGACCTGTGCTTGGGACAAAGTTTCCCAGAATGATTCCAATTGCCATAGCAAGAAAAATCCATACTGCCAAAAATCGGTCAAGAAGACCTAGACTTGAGAACATTGACCGTTTCTTCGATGGCTGATCTGGAGAAGAGTCTTCATTTTGCTTTTCAATGTCGCATGCTTTTGTCTGGTCACTGGGAGGACTGGATGTATGTAAACTTGACTGTGGGCGTATTGATGCCATAGTGAACAACACAAATTGCTCAACTAGTGACTTGTTGAGCAGACAATTGTTGGAATTCACTACACGTCCGGACAGCAGAGCATATTTTATATATTCTCGCCCAGACAAAACGGTGATGATATGTCACTGGCGGGCGCTGATTGGCTGAAGAATCAAACTATGGAATTCCAAGGGTCCACCTCCCGTTTGGCAGCCAAAAAGATCTCAACCAATCAGAATGCAGGAGTGACATTCCTTCCAGGCGGGGGAATCTACCTGCAGAACAACAGTCTAAGAAGTGTCGAATCTCTCAATTCTTAATTTCAGCATTTGTCTTAACCACCATGTCAGCCGAGCTTCCATGGCATGCTGCATATCCCGCACCAAGGGGTACAGCACCTTCCATATCACGAGAAGAGCTATTGCAATGGATCCGAGAGGGTAAACAAGCAGGCAAAGACTTTCTACTTGTTGACTTGCGTCGCACAGACTATGAGGTATGGACAGTTCTGAACAAAAAGTGACATTTTCATGCGCTGATGTGCCAAAAGGGAGGAACTATCCAAGGGTCATTGAACTTGCCAGCTCAGAGTTTATACCCCACGATCCCAACATTATATTCTCTGGTATCGAACAGCAGTGTGAAATATGTGATTTGGTATTGTGGTGAGCCTTACCTAAAGAATATGATAGCAACTTTTTGAAACCCCAATACTTATTTGTATTTAGGGTCATCTGCCGGCCGAGGTACTCGTGCATCGGGATGGTTTGCGGATTACCTCGAAGATCAACAGGACACAGAGGTCAAGAGTTTAGTTCTCTCGGGGGGCATTAAAGGATGGGCTGCAGCCGGTCCGGATTATACATCCTTGATGGATGGGTATGATGCCTCTGTCTGGACAAAATAGAAATATTTAGTCGAAATAATCAATTGCATGATACGATATTTGCTATCATCTTTCAATTCTATCGAAGGGTCTCAAACCAGCTGCTTCAAAAAGAGAGTTCACTCGAGTATTATCAGGTAAGTGCACGCTCCGTCTCAAAGCCATGTGTATACATTATCGGTCATGGGACCACGGTACAACGGTTGGCAGGCAGTATTTGATCTTTGGTATGCATTGGATTTATTATTCTGCATATAAATGCAAGTCCTACAATGCGGAAAGTGGCAATTAAGAGTATAGTTAAGCTCATAATTAAACTAGTGGGGACATGCATAGACAACCGTGCACAGAGCCTCAACTCAAATTTCTTCGCAACGCCTGATCAAAGCCGGGTAGTATTCTGTACGTATGCAGTATTTAAGGTCAAACAGGGTATCTTTGGAGCTTTTGGTGTCTGGAAAGACTGTTACTTATTTCCCCAAAGGTCGCCTGCTGGTGCACTTCGTGCAGTTGTGCTTCGGGATGTTAGTAACATGACTGATGTCATAAACAAGGAATACGAAGGGCAATGGGACTAGGTACTTATTTTCAAACCATTCAATTATTGCCGAGCTGAGGCTGCGAATGTGCCTCAGAGATATTCTTATCGAGTGATTTGTGCCGCGCTTCTTCTTCTTCAGTTGTAGGCTCAACCGGACCCGGAGCAGCGACCTCACTCAAAGTGCCATAGGATTCATCCTCTTCATTGACATCCCCAGTATATGTGCGTGGCCCGCTTATTGGTGGAGGACCTGAATCTTTCTTACGGCCACAGTGAAGTATTTGCCGGAGTTTGGAGGCAAGTGTCATATTCTATCCCACAATAAATGAGACGAAAGCCGAGGATCCCATAGAATGCAAGATAACAATTTCCTTAGACATTCGCCATCTAGAATACATTGGAGACTATCACTCTTAAGGTGTTTAGCCACTGAGCTACGTCATGAAGATGAAGGGGTGAAGAGGTCATCGGACGAGTTTCCGAGTTGCGCAGAGGGTTAGTAAGATAATTAAAATTGTATCCATATGTGTGATTTCGCTCGATGGAAAAGTCAAGATGGGTAGATCAGCTCTGAAATAACTAGTTGATATGTTGGAGCATGGCTGTTGCTCTTATTCGGAGCTAGCGCTAACTCCGAACTTGGCATTGGACCACCTCCCGTCCAAACTTTCTCACGTCTTACCACTTCGTTTCCTCGACTACAGCTTTTTAAGATGACTGCTCAATTTGATCACCAGCCAGCTCTCGAGCCAACAACGTCAAGTAATCCGAGAGACATTTTGGATCCCGCGACTCGAAGACGACTCCAAAATCGCCTCAATCAACGTGCGAGCAGTAGGTGGCACTCTATTCCGCCAAATCTGGCCTTTCAACTATCAACTGTTCAGACTAACATTGTATACAGGAAAGAGAAAGGCGTTAGAGTCTAAAACCCAACACAAAACGCCAGATAGGAAATGGATTGTCTATGTCGATGATTCAAACATCCCAAAAAGAAGCACATCTACAGAAGAAGCAACAAGCCATCAAGTTACTCAATTATCGTTGCCTCTCAACCAAAATGAAGAATATCTATCTTACTTCAAATCTTCTGAGTGCGATGCGTTTATGAACAAGCTTTATGGAAAAGCCCTGCATACGATTGAGAACCCGGTCCTCTCACGCAATCCCACTGTTTGCGACGCCCAGTTCAATGTATTTCGCGCTATATCAATCAATGCCAATCTGATGGGCCTCACATTTGATCTTCTCAATGAAGACATCGCGTCGCAATTCAACCTCGCCGGACCATTGATGTCGGCGGTACATCTCCCAGCAAGCCTGTTTCCATCCCAGAAACAAAGAAAGATTATCCACCACCCCTGGATTGATTTAATTCCAATGTTATCTCTACGGGAGGCTCTTTTGATCAGAGTAGATGTAATTGACGAAGATGAACTATGCGTTGACTTTTATGGAACTTGTGCTCCGTCGCAAGAAGTCGGGCTTCGCGTTTGGGGCGAAGCTTGGGATCCATTCGCTTATGAGTTCTCGGAGGCGATTATCAGGAAATGGAGATGGATGGCAACAGATTGTCCTGACATAGTCAAATCTTCCAATTACTGGAGGAGACAGCGAGGGGAGAAGCCTATCGTGTTCGAGGTCGAGTGATATTTCAACCTATATATAATAAATAGATCGAACTCTTCTCAACTTCAATTCCCTTATAGCGAAAACTTCTCGTGGGTCAGGCTCTCGCTTAGCTCCCAAAGTTTGGCCCAGTTGCCTTCGTCGTTGATATGGGTGTGCAATTCGTGGTCTGAGACTGCATTCTGGCTGAGGTATGAGCCGTTGTGCTCTGAATACAGACATCATTAGTAAAAGGGGACTAGAGGTACGGGCTTGGCAATGTGTTCAACTTACCTGCGATGGTAGGGTCGACCATTCCTGTGATGACGGTAGCGGCTCCTTCTGAGGTAGTAGTCCACGAGGGAATCTCGATTGGCTTTCCATCCATGTCAACCATGGCTAAAGAGGCTAGTTAGTCGGAAACGAGAACAAACAAGAGGGCCGCATATACCTCCGGCCTTTTTCCATTCGGCGACCTGGTCCAAAAATTCCGGAGGGCAGTGTCGTTGCAGACCAGTTTGAACAGCTATATGTTCGTCAACTATATCCTTTCAATTGGGGGAAGAACAAAGTCATACCACCAGGGTCAATACTGAAAACCCGAATATTCTCGTTCTTCAACTTCTCACCCAGTCTCTTGACAAACATAACCCTCGCAGCGTTCGACTGACCATATGCAACCATAGGGTCGTATGTTTGGCCATCCTACAAGGCAGCGGAATGTCAGCGCCGTTAAACAAAACCCCGAATCGAATCAAACTAACACTGAAGTTGAAGTCATCGAAGTGCATCTTCCCTTGTCTAACCATAGACGATGCCATGATAACCACAGACGAATCGGGTCCCGCAGCACGGATCTTCGGTAGAAGCAACTTCACAAGCAAGAAGTTCGCCAGGTAATTGACTCCCAGCTGGCTCTCGAGCCCATCTTTTGTCTTGCTGTAAGGCGGGAACATTACACCGGCGACGCAGACAAGGTGGTCGATGTGAGACACATCTTTCAGGTCTCCGACTGCATCTCGCACGGCGCTCAAGTCACTCAGATCCAAGTTGAGGAAGCGGGTCTCCACGTCTGGCTTGGTTGACTTGATCTTTTCTCTAATTCTGCTCACCCTTGATTCGGCACGGGCACTCAGGATGAGTAGCTTGGGATCGGTGGTGGAAAGTTGAAGTGCGAGTTCGCCTGCAATGGAGTCGTCGGAAATGCCGGTGATAAGCACTATGAAGGGAAGATGTTTTATCAGCAGTATGAAGTTTTATAGATTATAGGAATCTGGACTTACCTGTCTTTCCACTAAGGGTCTTGCCATACTTCTCGAGAACAACCTCAGAGCGGAGGACTTGTTGATTGTTGGACATATTGGGTGAAGGTGTTTGAAGATAAAGATTTGGGCAATGAAGAAAGCAAAGAAGTTTGATTGATCTATCATCCATTTCAACCAGACGCAATGGTTCGCTTTATATATTTGGATTAAGTGCCCTTCAAGTATATTCACTGCTGGTATAGTTCGGAAGGACCAATCAGCGTCCACGGAAATCCCCCATCCCTTACCATATCGGGTTAGCTCACTGTCATCAAGTAGTTATCAAGTGCATCAGGTTGTTTCTTGAAAATATCATGGAGTCAAAATGAAAACTCTGTTAATTTCCTACAAGTTGTGCCCTATGTAGGCGAGATTACATGCAATTCCAGAACACATCCAAGTATGATATATCACACAATTGCACTTCACCAGAGATGATGGTAGCGAATACTTTCAGCATGGATATGTGCAAACACGAGAAATGGTAAATGTGATTATTAGATTCCAATAGGAGGCTAAACCAGAGCCACCGGCCCAATTGTCTACACGTATCTAATACAATGCGCCAAACCCAAATAAGACAAGAAAGGTCATCACACATATCAGCGGACAGACATGAAATAGCAGTGCCCAAGACAGTCTGCTCTAGAACCACATGATGCCTGCAACAAGACCAATCACAACAGCCATACAGCTTCCATGGAGTTCCTGCGAGTGCCGACCAGCGGCAGCATCGGTGGAATCCTCAGCACCAACTTTTTGTTGGGGAGCTGCTTGCTCGGACGGGGTGAATGAATCTGAGGCGGCGTTGGGAATTGTGGGGTTGGGTATTAACGATGTGGGAGTTCCAGTGATCCACTCCGGGAGGGAGATCGATTTCGCATAATTCGCTCCTTGGAGTCCGATGCGTTTTCCAAAATCAATCGTGACATGGCAGGCCTGCTGACACATATCGCGGAGGAAGGCAGGAAAGGGCAGTAGTGGTTCATGGATGTTATCTGAGGAATTATTATATGACGGGATGCTTGGAGGAGATTTGTTTTCGGATGTTGGGAGAGATTCGTTCGGGGTGATGGTAGGGTATCGATGCATTGAGTCTGTGACTAGGCTGCGGTTGGACAATGAGGTGAGGAATGGGTAATCGTCTAATTGTTGGATGAAGTAGGTTCTGAATGCGCGGGCTTTGCGACTGAATGAAAATGAGGATTCACGTGTGAACGATGATAGTCGACTTTTATTTGTGACGGTGGTTGTTTCGCTGGTCGGGATCACGGCGGCATTGCCAACGCGTGCGGTAAGCGGTGGGCGATTTCCTCGCGATCGATGTGACGCTGCTAGAATCCATGACTTGCGAGGCTCGACGAGGGTGTGTGCTTTCGGTGCTAATTCGGTGACACTCTCTTGAAGCAGAGGGATCTCTAGAAAGTCGAATTGGTTAGTTAACTCGAATGAGCTTGAGCGTGGCGGACAATTGGGACATACGACGAGCTGCACTGGTGTAGAAGCTGAAGTCTGCGAACTTTGAGTGATATAGATTCGGTAGTGATGGCACCAATGTGAGCAGTGAGAACACAATCAGGATCAGGAGTGGGAGAGCGCCAGGTTTATCCAAGCTGGACCACATCGTCCCTGCTCCCTGACTCCGTCCGGGAGCTTCCAAAGGGTGTGTTATGTTTCAGGCTTCACGGGAATCGAGGAGCAAGAAATGCAATTTCAAGGCCATGGAGGGAATAAGCTCGGGTGTTTCGCGTTTTAATGCAACGTTCCGCGGGATGCAGCGTTTCTGCAGAGTAACGCGCTGACGCGCAGGAGGGGGGCTGGTGTGTTCGAATTGTCACCAGGAAGAAGATAGGAGCTGGAGAGAAGAGAAAAGAGAGGAAATTCGAGATGCAGTGGATTCAAGTGGATTTGACGGGTTAATAGTCGAATGAAACACAATGAGGAGCCCTCGGGGTAGGTGGATGCGATTTCTTGGCCGCTTCTTCTTTTTTTTTTTTTCTTTTTCTTCTTCTTGTACAGATAGTATGACGTCGATGACCGTTGTAGTACAATAAGTTGGATTGATTCGAAAATAGGCCGTTGGATTTCTGAAGTGTACAGAATTTCCCCTCTATCCTCCCAACGGTTGAAAAAGAATGTTTCCCACGTTGGCCCCCATTTTGACAGGTTTCTCTTCCAAGAATGTTGGCCTGAGGCACCACTGTCCCATATGTTGATCAACTCCAAAACAGGAAAAAAAAACAGGATCTTCCAACTTCTCTGGTCATTTTCAGTTTATTTCAGCCCTAGTCGATTAGGATACCCCTCATATATACTATGATTCGAGGCAACCAGTTAACATTCCGGTATCTGTCTTATTTTCTACTTTGTATATCCTTCTGTCAGCTAAGGATTAGATTACTGGAAGTCTGCACAGAGACAGATGTAGATGATGAATTTTCAATGGTTATATATCCCTTTATGTTGTATATGCTGTTCAGAGGACCCCTGCTTGCCTTGATACCTTACTATCTTAATGCCTGATATGCCGCTTCAGCTATTTACCCTTGCGATCCCTATGTTCCTCATCAAGGGGTTATAGCTAGCGCTGCTGGAAGAGGTGTAGCACAAGTATATCCTAGAGTTATTTTGAATATGTCGTTTGTAATTTATTCCAGGTGACTTGATCAGCTATTAGACGTATTCATGTAATAGTATATTCGATATTCATACTATTTCACCCCTCCTGTTATCGTGTGATATGAGGTTCATCGCTCAAGGCAACCGCGAATGTCCGACAATAATAGCAACTGATCGACATCACAATCCACCACGTGCACCGCCCTACTGATATCATTTGACATTGATCATCCTGGCCTACACTTATGTCTTTCTCTTCTGTTCCTATTTGCGGCTGTTACCGCTGGTAGATCCAAAGAACAGAAGAGAATAGCCGAGTGAGAAGAGAGCTATGACAGTAGTCTAATCATGCACTATAGCCAGCTTGGTGATATGCTGAAAGGCTAAACAAATTTGGAATGTTTCGTTCGGAATTTGTGGTATACACCATTGCATACTAGGGTCACGAAACTGTAGTAACCCTAGCACATCATTCTTTCATCCACATCCTCGTTTGTATAGATTCACAGGCTTGTATTTAGCCCAGCACCGCACCAATATATCCCACACCTCGCCCATGCAGCATCGTAAGTTATAAATAGTATCAAAGGCAATGAAATCATCCTTGTACTCAGTACCGCAATCATATCGACGATGAACTGCCTCAAAGGTAAAGAGTGCCACATCACAGCTTTTGTCTCCCGTTTTTTTTTCCACACAGCGAAAAGAAGGAGCACCAAATTGAGGCCCTTAGCCGAGTAGTCTGGGTGATGGTGAAGCTTGACCTACTTCCGGATTCTCTGCCGGGAAGGAAGAGGAGAAAGGTACAACGCCAACATTAAATAGGAATGGTAGCCAGACAAAGACGTTGAATCGAAGACCACACAACCAGAACGGGTTTTGAGTGCGCAGTCCCATTAACACAAGGAAAGTGTGGCCGGAACTTGCATAAGATGCCGCTGCACCAGGTCCTGACATTTATATTCGATGTCCAGATTCAGGCCTGCAATTCCAGGCGTATCTCCGGGGTAGGTGTGGTCTGCGACTCGGATACGATGGCAATGATAGGCCTCGATGTCTCGTCGGACTAAGGTCGACATATTAGCACTTCGTAAAAGCCCTATAGGAAGCAAAAGCAAATGAGAAATAAAGACTCACAAGTCTTCGGCGCTTCTTGCCTACTGGAGTGTAGGTCTTCACATAAGATTCGACTGAGGCTAAAGCAGTGTATACACCACAACGCCACCGCAGCAGCCCGAACATCCGTAATGCTGTAAATGAGGTTAGTATTACAAGTCTCTCCCCAAACCCGGGATCCTCGTTAACTCCGACGTTGGACACTCACTCTAGAAATGGATAAAACTCGAACTACCATGTCCGCGAATAGCTTCATCCAGAGAGAATTCGAAATTAGCAAATCCCACAAAGAAATGATCTCGAAGACCTAAGGGATACTCACTGGTCCAAATTTTCCACGGGCCCTAAAGCAAGATTGAAAGACCTTGGATGTGGCCGTATCACGGACGCAATCGCCAGGTCTCACGAAGCGTCTCAGGAGTGGCTTTCTGGTAGAGGGGTCGAAGTCTTCTGAGCATTTTGGACTCCCAAGTCAAAATCCCACAGCCAGGAGCAAGAGAAAAATCATATGGTCGATAGTTCCTCGTCTTTAGCACTGGACCGTGGAGGAAAACATCGCATCTGATTGCGCCCCTCCTGGAGCGACGAGAAGAAGTATCTGTCAACGTTGGCTTTCCATCGATCATGTGCGTGAAGTTGTCTTAGAGCTGACCGAAGAGCTGCTCATATTCGGTTAGGGTGGATCTTGGCTGGACTCCAGTCGTCATTGTTAGTTGTTTCCAAGGTTTGTAGTTCTTATCCCTCAAGGTCATACCACATATATAGAAAAAAAAAGTGAGATATGCATGTTTATGCTGTGGTGTTGGAGACATTGAGCGTCACAGGCCTTTTGGACATCAGCTGCACCGGGGTTGTGGCATCCAGTGGATGGAAGCTTGAGAGGTTCGGGATCATGGTATATAGACAGATTGGGTATTTGATATAGAAGACCATCATTTCTAGTGACCTCAGACCCAGGGGTAGATGGATGTCAAGCAGATATGACAGAAGAAGGATGGAATCAAAAGATGGGAGGTTTATTGTCCCCCCATGCCGCCTTTTATAACAATGAACTGCCTTATGTAATGTGTGCTTTCTAAAATTTCTAGCACAGTGAACGCAGCATCATTGAATTCATACAGCGCAAAACATGTCATTCCTTCGTGAATATTCAATGAAGGTCGTCAAAGCGTAGCGTATATCTACAAATATCCAAAAAGATGCATCATGACTATGTACACACACTTTTAGTGAAAACAGAAACCAAAAAGAAAAAGCAACACATCATCACACATAGAAGCAATATATGCCAAAGAACAATGGCAAGAATTGGAGCAGCAGCTTTTTTCATTAATCATGCACATTTCAATTTCCATCAAATCGGATTAATCATAGAAGCATCAGGAACAGCCGGCTGGCTCATTCCCACACGAGCTCCGTCAATGGGCGTAGATTTCGTAACTGGAACTGGCGAGACGGTAGTCGGCACACTAATATCGAGATGACTGGGTGAACGACTACTGCGACTGCGTGAGCCACCACCGTGCGAGATACTGCTTCCCGGGGTGCCGGTACTGGAATTGGGCTTCCCGCCGCGTTTGACCATTTTGCCCAGCACGCTGACGATCTCTGCGGCATCTTCGAAGCTCTCGTCGTCCATGCCTTCTTGGGCATTGTAGACGTCTGCGATGGCCTGTTTTGCGAGGCGGCGGCAAGCGACAGAGTCTTGAAGGCAGTCGTATAGATATGCTGCGTATTCGAGTTTGACGGAGAGACGGAGAGGGTGTGAGCCTGGTAGAAGTTTGTCGGAGAGAGTTGCTGCGTGGTTGAAGCACGCTGTGGCTGTGGCTGTGTAGTCTAGTGGGGGAAGGAGGAAGGAGGAGATTGGCTCGGGTGGCTGGACTGGTTGCATTACTGGTAGCCCTGGAGGGCGGGATGTTGGCGTGGAGGCCATATTCATTTTGGAGTTGTAGGTGTCTGAGACGTCGAGGGCGGTTAGGGCGTCTGCGCCGTATATGGAGTCATGTTTGAAGTGGGTTGGCATGTCGGTGTCGGGGGTGAAAATTGGGCGGTTGTGGAATAAAACGAAAATATGGTAGAAGGAAGCGCGGAGTTTGTAGGCGAGCACTTTTAGCTCGACAAACCTGTCTACCATGGGAAGGATGTAGCCCTCCAGTATTAGTAGGCCTTCCCGGGAGAGCCATATGATGTGATGGTACAGCTGGAGGGATCTTGTTTCACGTGTTGTGTCGAGGCGCCGCAGCTTGCGGGCTCTAAGTAGCTTTTTTGACAGCATGACGGAGATGCCGAGGATTTTGTATAGCATTGACGAGAGCAGGGGGTTTCGAGGCTCATGACGGCCGCGAAATTGCCCAGGGCTTTCTGGTCCACTTCGGAGGAGGCCATCCATAAATCCCACGACCCAGGAATTGGGGAGTCTGGGCAGATAGAGTCAGCCATATTGGTCATTGGCTTCAAGCAACAGGCGGAGTGGAGGTTCGGAAAAGACCAATTGACCGAAAGAGAACTCAATCGCGAAGCTAGGGATGCACCAACAAAGAAGGGAATAGGCGAAGACAGCTTGGACTTACCAAAAAGCATGCAAACAGAATTTCAAATAATAATCAAACGCAGCGACTGGATCATGCTCCAACCACGCGCGTATTCCCAGGCCGCGGGCCAATTGACCTGCGAAATCTAGATTTTGGCGCCACAGAAAGCTCAGACTGTTCCAGCGACGCGCTCAATCACAAAAGGCAAAACACACACGGAATATCCGAAACCGAGAGCAGCAAGTTCGGCGCAAGCTGCAAGGTTCGGCAGGACCCGAGGGGGCGATTGTTCAGACCGCGGAGTATATCACAGCCAATGGCTTTCGTTCCTGGCGCGGGTAACAAATCCAATTGCGACAAGCAAGTATATAACGTTCCAATCGTATGTTGTAGACACCGTGCGGAACAACGTTGTCCGATTAATCGAATCGATATTTCCCGTTTCGGTCTAGCGACGGCTGAGTTCCGAATGTCGTATTTACGCCGTATCGTGGCTGGGAATTCGGCTAACAACGCAAGGAGGAGACAATGGAGTGACGGAGCTCGTGACTGGATTGAAAGTAAACTTGACGCATTGTGTGGCCGGCAAAGTAGGGGGGGGCAAAGGCGAAATGCGACGATTTTGGGTGCCAGCGAAGTCTGTGCGGGGAAGGAATTGGGGGGGACAGTTGTCTCGGGTATGAAGCTACTAGCTCGGGGGCTCGAGCTAGGAGCACTGGGGGGGGTTAGAATTGTTATTGTAAGCGTTAGGGCTGCTTGTTATGGAGTCAAATCCCACGGATTAAAAGAGAATCAGAAACTTGAAAGATTTTTGACGCAGAAATGCAAGGTCATGCTAGCTGCGTGGAGATTTCCCCTGATATGACGAAGAGATCGGGTTGGAAGATATGCGAAGTTATGCGTAAGGATGGAGTACTGTATAGTAATTATTTACTAGTCTGTCTTGAAGTCCCACAATAATCAACAAAATCAATAGAATTATACGAAAATGATTACAGATGTGCTAGAAGTGGAGGTGGTGGTCTATGTGGTCTATTTGTGTAAGGTCGACTCCGTACTAAGGCTTGTGCAATTGCGATACCCAGTGGCAAGCCATCTCACTCTAATCCAATCTAGCGAATGCTGTGCTGTCCTGCACTAGTCTGGGGTTTGCGTACAATGTCCACTTAAGAGCCTGTTAACTAAATGGTGATGATGGGCTTGCTACGTGGCAGCGGCTTAAGGTAAAAAAAACAACAATTAGGGCAGCATCATAGATTGGCAGGGAATTTATCCGTACTTATTTCAGGATCATCCTCCCCAAGTGCCCAAGTTCTCGGACCAGACTACTCTGAATGTATTCTGTACCTGGGTATTAATTCTAAACCTTGCTAGCACGGACTGCCACGCTGGCAGTGGCTGTGATTGTGGGTATTGGGGGTTGTGGTCGCGATGGAAATCCACCTATGTGATGTGATGGAAATGACAAGTTTGTAGTGATCATTGTATCATTGTAAGTACTCCGTACAACATCTATATATGTAAGGTAGATATATCAAGGAAAATAATATGTACATTGATGATCTGCAGTTCGGTTGACGTTGTGTTCCCCCAAGATACAGTATCCAACCTGTTACACCGCCAGATGCCCTTGCTGATCCAATTAGACAAGTCCATTGTAGAATTTGATTATTTTGGGAGGGAGTTTTTTTTTATTATTTGCTATACTTTTACTTCAATCCTGTGTTCCATATCCAATAATGAACAATGGCCATAATCTAGAATAACACCTTGTGATAGCACAAGTCTCTACCGTATAAGCCTGAGATGCAAGCTATGTATCGTGCACGCAAAAGTATCCAAAGAGAAAAGAAAGACGCTAAAGCAAAATCACCCTATTCATCCAGGTCATCAACTGGGAATCCAACATATGCACGCCTCAAGAAAGCCCGCCAGATATTGTTCACTGGCTTTTTCTTAGCAACAGACCCATCAGCGCCTTCGCTATTGACGTCAGTCTGTTTTGCTTTAGCTTCTTCCTCGCCAATTCTGGCGGCGAGTTGGAAGAAGCTGCGCACTGTCAGGTCTTTCATTTGATACACGTCATCATTTGTGGTGTACTCAATCTCGTAGTCGATACGAGGATCATCGCCTCGTTTGCCTGTCGCGATTTGTTCGTGGATTTTTGTTAGATTCGAGTAGTATTGGGTGTAGCTAAGCAAGGTGAACGCTTGGTTGGAGTATGCAGGGCCCGGAGGAGCGGTTGAGGATGGGGGCTCGGGGACTTTGAACTTGGGTTTATTTTTCTTGCCCTTGCCCTTCTTTTTCTTCTTCTGAATTTCGGGGGCAACCAGAGAGTCGTCGCTGGTTTCCCATGTATCAATCGCAGCACGGTCGAGTCCGAAAGTGGTATCGTCAACCTCATCTGTGAGCAATTCCGCTCCATGTGCGACATCATCCAATCCCGTGACATTGTAGTCGACCACGCGCAGGCTAGGGAAGAAGTTCGGGACCAAACTGGGAGCTACGAGCGATACGCTGTATCGTTCTGCCCATGGGCCTCCAATCTTGTCTAAGAACTTTTGCTTCTTCTTTTCCTTCTTTTTACCCCTCTTGTCTTTCTTCGCCAGCTCAACTTCCGAGAGATCTTCCTCTTCAAAATTCGACATGGAGTCGAGGTCCTCGAAAAGGCCCGACGGAGGAGATGGTAATAAGGACCATTGGTTTCGGAGCGACTGCAGGTAGTCGGCTTTTGAGTTGATTGACACTTTCCCATTAGCCTTTGAATCAATCTTGACCTTGTTGCTATCCTGGAGCATAAAGTGATCGATGTTCATGTGGCCGTAAAAGCTCCCGACAACAACGTCACGATACTGGTGCATCCAGAGCGTATATTTTTGCCAGCATGTCTCATCCCAGCTCTTTTTCTCGCTCGACCGGGCCGGGGGAACGTGACCCATAAGGATAGCTTTCATATTGCGACTGCGCAGAATTTTTAGCTGCACCCGCAACCACTCCATGTGCTCGTATCCAGGTTCCGACTTGGCGTTGCATCCATCCACTGCACTGTTGGAATCGAAGAAGTACATGGTGTTTAGGCTGATGACCGCTAGCCGACCGGGGACAACCTCCGTGGTGAACCAACCGCCCTCAACGAAGGTGTGGCGCTGATCTTCTGGGATGAATTGGTTCCATATCTCCGCAAAGCGCCTTGTCCATTTGTTCGGGCCCTCGTTGAAGATGTTGTGAGGCATAATATCGTTGTTACCGAATGTCGGGATCACGGGGATCTTGGGCGCGGCATTCGAACCGAAAATGCTAATCCATTTTTGAGACAGGAATGCATTGAATTCCATAATCTCATCTGCCGTGCGAGGGAGTCTTTCGTCATTGTCGTGTCGGACAGAATCGCCGGTCCAAATTACAAAATCAATCTCATCCTTCAAATTTTCTTCGATCCAGCGAAATGTCTCGTTCACAAGTGATAAGGGTGAATCACAATCTGTGCCCTCAGCTCCAAAATACCCCGCGGGGCCGTTACCATGGTGGCACGAGCGATCGATCGAGGTTCCGGGCTTGTAGAGACGGTCGGGATGAAAATCTGTTGGTCAGCACGGGGTCACACCCACAGAAACACGAAGGTAGAGAAGTGTCCCCTCACCAGTTATATGCAAGAATCGTCCGTGTATAGGTTTGCGCAAACCCTCCACCAGCTGCCCAGGCACGTCCGTTGGACTAATGTGGCCCAACGGCTGTTGCCCCAAGGGGCTGGCGGAGATGGCGTCGGCAAAGAGGCCCAGCAGCAAGAAAATTGACTGCATGAGTCCTCTAAACCAACTGGTACACCAAGAGAGAAGAGTGAAGAGTCAAAAGCTCGGGAATATTTTGGGCAAATATCTTATCTGCACGGTCACGTCACTTGGCGGGTGCGGTAGCCGAACAACACTAATCAGAAGACCGATGGGTCAATTTTAAAGGAAACACTTGAAAGGTGAAAGAAGTGAAGAAGTGAAGAAGTGAAGAACTTAGTATAAAAAGATGTTTATCTCTCTACTTGATCCAAATGATAAATTTAAAGTTAAGCCTACTACTATCCCCAGATCGACATCGACTCACGCGACAACCAATGACTCCATCACGTGCCTAACATGTAGGGACCTTGTGGACTTTGTTAGGTACTGAGGTGGTTTTTTGCTGCCTAATATTGTCATTTTGCCATATTGATGATGTTCCTTTTGAGGGAGTGTACTGCGGATGACTTGATATTTTGGTTGATGATAATATGGAGTGCATTAGAGATATTTTGCCTAGGTGGTGCTAAGGTTGTGGGATGTTCGTCAACATCTAGATGTCATAAGAAGAAGATTGCGGAAACAAGGGTATGATGAAACTCACCATGCTAAGTTTCCAAACCTATGGTATTGCACAAGACAGCTCTAAGTCTTTCCTTTAGTTCCTTTGCCGCATCTGTCTCCTCTTTGGAGACCAGAAGTTCGGTCTCTAGAGCTGCATTTCTTTCTCGAAGCTCGCTGATTTCCTTGATGGTACTTTCAGAGTTGGTGGCATTCTCTTGCAATGTGCCCAGATCCCTCCTCAGAGCCACTTGGGTTTGTTCCTGGATTTTAATGGTTTGGGCGCATTGGGTGTTTTGGATACGCAGCTCCTCGATTTCTCCTCGGAGCATAGCAATTGATTCGAGTTCTTGATATATCACAGAAAGCGATGCATCCACATTACTGGGTAGTGTGTTATACCACGATTTCCGCCCGCATCGATTCCCTTGAGGGCTCTCTGTAGCGATCTGGACAGCAGGCGACGCATCCACCTCACCGGGCAGCGCGCCATGCCGCGATTTTCGTTTGCGTCCAGTGGGTTGGAGGCTCTCCGTAGCGGTCTGACCAGCAGGCACTGGATAGATTACATCGTGGCTTGAATCTCGATAAACTGCACTAGGTTGCAATTCTCCTAGAGTGGATTGGGTTTGGAGTCCCTCTCGTTGCAGTCCTAGACTTGCTGCAGGACATAGTAGATGGGAAATCGGCAAAGCATTCGAGTTGGTCCCATTGGTTGCATGGCTGGGAAAATCATGAATTTGGATGGAGGCAGGCTGAGGAGAAGCGGGCGGGGTAAGCTCTGGAGGTGCTCTGTCCCAGCCTCGACGGACGCATATTAAACAAAAAAGGTGGTCATAGGAATTACGTGCGCAGCCGGCTGGTAAGCACTCGCGATGGAATGCGAGTTTGCAGGTATGACAATTCTCGAGACGCTCAGGCTCATGGCAGATGCAGCAGTAGTCCTCGCGCTTTGAACCAGCTCCTATATGCTGTTTAGTTTTCAAGGGCATCCATTGAGATTTGCTTCGAAAGAGAACGGCACGCACTTCTCCATTCTTTGTATTGTTGGATTTGGGAAGGATATGGCTGTTCCGCAACATCGGCGACTATCACAGCCCAATTAAGAAATCGGATTGGCTCAGTTTTGTTTGAATCAATACTTTGGGTTTGGTTTTGCTGGACATCTCGATTATTGCACTGATCGCCAATCTCAGGGGTCTCTGAGGGGCACAACACATGACGTTGTCTTTTGTTTTGCACACCATGTGCCGGGCTTTTCGCCTGCGCCTTCGCCTTTCTCGGGTTCCTCGCTGGCATTGTGTCTATTGATATAGGAAGTTTGGGGATTTAGCTTGTGTTGAGCAATCTATGGGTTTAGATTACTACTGAGATTGGGAGAAAGCAGGAGAAGAATTGTTAATTGATAAAACTAATAATGCAGGGCCCAGGGGTTTATATACCCTGCAGAAATCATCTGAACATTGCTCATTGTAGCAAACAAATAGCAAATAGCAAATAAAAGCAAAAGGCTCAGTCTACAGCAAACAACATGCATGTATGCATGGTATCGGCAATAAATTGCGGCCTTAGTGCCTTAATTTGGCCTTAATTTGGCCTGACGTTGGCCTGACGTTGGCCTTAATGGGACCAGATATTCAGGCATCCGCGGACCTGTGTAATTGTAATTCAGATATCTTGATCTGTTTGAAAATAAAAGGTTATTCCACCTAGGATTCTGCTTAGTTGAAGTTGACATCGAAAGTAGAACACTATTGGCACAGCAAGTCTACTGGCACAGTCCACTAAGCCCCTTTAGTCCTAGCCTTCTTAGCCTTCTTGGCACCCATTTTTCGGCCTAGGTGTTATTTATTATGGTATCACCACAGTAAAAAACACAGCCCCTGAACCACCCCAGCCACATAGTGCTCCACGATCTCCTCCACCATGATCTCCTCCATGATCTGCTCTATGATCAGCCCAATAATGATGCCACCATTGGATCACGTGATCATAATTATCCATAATAATTTAGATCACATGATCATAATTGTCTACCATTAAATCACATGACTCCAGGATATCAACCTGCAGGATTTCCTTCTTACCCCAATCTGCTTTCACAACGTCGCTTGACGTGCGCTTAAATAATTGGGAGTTTCGTTTTCTGATAAATGGCTGGCAGATGGTCTCACACAAATTCTCCAGCCCCTCGGCGGAACCTACCCCCTTTTTAACGATTCCAATCAGCGCCGCCGCCAAGCAATTACTGGTGACTCCGAGAAATGACTCGCTGGGGCGTCCATCCTCCGTACGGAGGTATGGGTGGCTGAAATGACCCTACGCCCTTGTTGACCTTTTATGGTCCATCTCCGTGGCCATCTCCGCTCCGAAAGTGTCGCCTCCAGGAATTCTCAGTTCGGCCCGGAGCTGTGATATTATGGTTTCTCGTCTTCGGTCCAACCTCCGCCGTAATGGCGCTCTGTGAAGCGAGTTTAGATCGATCTGAGCTCTGTATTGCTGTTCATGTAAACCTAACGTAACGCACGGTCAGCCCTTTAGATTCAGTGGCATTTGCGGTGAACGTTTGATGGGAGATTCGGGCCGAAGTTCGATGAAGCGTAATGGTCGAGGGAATGTGCCATTCCCTCTATAATCTAAGGGAATAAGCTAGAGCAGCAGCTAACAAAAGAAGTTAAATCGATTGTAAACAGTTTAGTGGATTGTGGGGGAAGCACCCCGGAGTCCGTGAAGGATTCAGCGCGGAGAAGACTCCGCGCTGACAGTAGCTCCGTGCAACGTTTCTAATTTTTCACCCTTGTGAGACAAGGGAATTGAATATGGGGATACTGAGGGCATCATTGGAAAGGTAATTCTTGCGCCACGCGACTTTGGTAGATGGCAAGAACATGGGAAGTTGTCAAGCTGGATAGACAAAAGAACCCCAAAATAATACATCGAACACATCGCCACTCGCATGAAGAGGAGCGTCGAGTAAATTAAGCAATACTGCAAAAGTCATGTGAATATGTACCTAGCATCGGTCTAGAACTATTGTAGTAAGTATTTGGCCTTGAATTTGAGGCTCGCGAGCCCCTTTCGCTCCCTATGCATTGAGACCAGCTAGATACATTCGAAAATGGGCTAGCCCCAACAGTTTGGACGCTTCGAACGAGGTTCACCAGTCTCGCTAAGCGGGATACAGGGCCGATCATCCCGGCATCTGACCCTAATTTCTTTCACTATGAGAATAGAAACATAGCGACTATAGTGGGGAGAGAATGGTATGATTGGAGAATGTCCGATTACAATCAGGACGCGGAGTTATTTGAAAAAGCCACCAACCGGAGGCGTCTGTTACTGGTGACAACAGGGGTCACAAGGCAATGGAGAGAGTCTGGGGAAACCGGAGACTCCACCCAATCTTCCCCAAAGAGGATTATAGTCATTTCCTTAATTACTTGGTGATATGACTTGTTAACAGTATAAGAACCACTTGCTACCCCGCTGTTCATGAAATTCACGATTCATCGCGCCAGTCCCGTCTATCACCGACCGGGTTCACCTACCGAGATCGTCGACTTTAATACTCGCGGAATTATATCATGTCGGACAAGAAGGCAGATGAGGAGGTGTATGGAATCTCCTCCGGCATTGAAGATCCTGCTCGAGTTGTCGGTGGCTATGGGGAGACAATCAAGCGTCAAGGCGCAAAGACCAAGGAGGTCCAGAATGTCAGTTTTGAAAATCTTCGTGTACGGGCGAAATACTGACCTAGACCTCGGTAACAATATATAGGCCGATCTTTTTGCTGCTATTGAAGAGACCAAGATCGAAAGATGGAGCAAGGAGTCCCTGCACTTGTACTGTAAGTTACAACCTTTCGACTGATGCAGCAAATATTTCCCCAGACACTAACGTTTGATGCGACCATTACAGTCTGTATCTTCATCGCATTCTGCTGTGCCTGTGCCAATGGTTATGATGGTTAGTATTTAATCGACCTTAGGAGATGGCATCTACTAACTAAATATAGGATCTCTGATGGGATCTATCCTCGCCATGGATCATTATCAAAATGTCTTCAAGACTGGAATGGATGGCCCCAAAGTCTCCGTTGTTACTTCGCTCTACACAGTGTATGCTTTCTCTCTATTCTACACATCATAGAAACTAATATGATTTGTTCCTAGCGGCTCTATTGTCTGCACTCCCATTAGCGCTATCATTTCCGACAGGCTCGGTCGTCGCAAGTGCATGTTTACTGGCGGATGGGTGATCATCATTGGAGCTGTCATTATCACCAGTGCTATGACACTACCCCAATTCATCGTCGGTCGATTCGTCCTTGGTGTCGGTATTCAAATCATGGTCGTCTCCGCTCCTGCCTATGCTGTTGAAATTTCTCCACCTCACTGGCGTGGTCGCGCCGTTGGTGAGTATCTTGATCTTTCCGGAAAGAACATACAGTTCTAACCCTAGAACAGGCTTCTACAACTGCGGTTGGTTCGGTGGTTCCATCCCTGCTGCCGCTATCACATACGGTACCAACTTCATTGACAACAACTACCAGTGGCGCATTCCTTTTATCTGCCAGTGCTTTGCTTGTATTATTGTCATTATATCTGTTTGGTTCATTCCCGAGTCACCTCGGTGGCTCATCGCCAACGGCCGGAACGAAGAGGCAGAGGCATTCCTGGTCAAGTATCACGGAAATGGCGATCCCAACGCTCGACTGGTCCGTCTGGAGATTGAGGAAATGAGGGAAGGCATTCGAGTCGATGGTATTGACAAAAGATGGTGGGATTGTAAGTTTTGCAATGCCGATATAATCACCGTATTGCAATACCAACTGACCAATGTTTCTAACTCCGCTAGACCGACCATTCATCATGACAAAGAGTGGACGCTGGCGTTTCGCACAGGTTATCATGATTTCCGTCTTTGGACAGTGGTCTGGCAACGGTCTTGGCTACTTCAACGCCACTATTTTCAAGGCTATTGGATATGAATCTAGCTCAACCCAGTTGTTGCTTAACCTCGTCAACTCTATTATCTCAGCTGTGGGTGCATTGACCGCCGTGTGCTTAACCGACAAGATGCGCCGTCGCCCTGTTCTTATTTTCGGTACTCTTGGTAAGTCTCGTCTATTAGCTCCCCCCGGTTTAGTCATGGCCAACACGGCTAACCATCACATAGCATGCGCTATCGCCCTATGTATCAATGCCGGTATCCTGCAAGAAGTCGCCAATACTGGTTTCATCGGCAAGAACAAGGGCAAGGCTGCCCTTGCTTTCTACTACCTTTTCAACGTGATCTTCTCATTCACCTACACTCCCCTCCAGGGTGTCATTCCGGCCGAGGCTCTGGAGACAACCACTCGCTCCAAGGGCTTGGCTCTGTCAGGCTTCATGGTCAGCAGTATTAGTTTCATCAGCCAGTTTGCTACGCCCATTGGTCTAGCTAATATTTCTACCAACTATTTCTGGATCTTCGTCGGCTGGGACTTTGTCGAGTCCGTCTTCTGGTACTTCTTCTGGTATGCTTATTCTGATTCCGTTTACACTCTTCTCACATGTCAAAGCCCTTTCGTGCTAACTCCTGTTGTTACAGTGTCGAATCCCAGGGCCGAACTCTGGAACAGTTGGAGTGGGTTTACCAGCAGCCCAACCCTGTCAAGGCCTCCCAGAACGTGGACAAGGTTGTTGTTCAGGAGGATGGCACCGTTACTGAGAAGATCGAAGCCGATGCTTGATTAAAGCTTCGTTCGTCGAGGTCTATAGGTATATCGCACGTGTGGGTTGGATATGTTGTATAAATATCGACTTACCGCCGTGAGCAGAAATGGGGATTTGGAAGGCTATCTAATATGAGGGTGTTAATCTATTTCGCGAGCAATATAATAAGATACGAATGGAATACTTGTCCAAAAGGTTTCGATACTTGGGTTGTTTGAGTTGCTTGACGACATCATTAGCTGAATACCGAAAAGATCTGAAGTTGACTGTGCCTGCTGGAATGTCTCTCATCTTATATTCTTATATCCAACCTTGGAAGGTGGTCGTCAGTGGGTCGGAAATGACGATCCCAGATCGGACCCACTTGGAGGCACCGCTATCCCATTTTGGGATTAGATCCATCGAAAATGGGATTATGTAATCACAACGTCCACTTGACGGGCCAGGTCACAGGTGCGCTTCCTTTATTCTCTACATATGTTGTACATAGTAGGCGCCCAAGGTGCTGGATTTTTACCTCTTCCCCGGATTGCATTGTTAGATGAAAGAGCTTAGCACGTGGTAGGGAATTGTCATTTCTGAAAGGCAAGATACCGAATCACATCACTTGGATAAGATGTACTGTCTCACACCAGATAAGGACTATTTTTTGTGAAGTGGATACCGTTCAACAGCCTCTCATATCCAGATGTACGCTACCCAAGACTATATCTCAGTATCAGATCGTGCGTGAGAGACGATCTCTAGAGCCATGAAAGGGCTAATCCCCATTCATAGATCATAAGTTATCTCCAGCGCGATGTGCCCCTCTTTTACAATGTTAACCAGTTCCTATGTACATAACCTCTTATATTTACACTAAATACCAAGACGTAGAGATATTGGCAGGTGCCATTGCCTTCGGCAAGAGCGAAGTTGTATACATGTATCCATACAACTTGATCGAGCCATGGATTCAAACCAAAATTTCCCGCTACCCGTTATAGCGACGGCGACCCAGACCTAACCTCAACAAGTCCAATGGACTCCATACCTTCGATTTCGTCCCTCCCTTCTCTTACATATTCGAGTTCGAGTTCATTGGCCAGCGAAGTTCGGCGTATACCCACCCTCACAGCAGCTTCGATCCCCAAAGACAAGCTAGGAGAACCCTCAGCTATGGAGGGAAATCGCAATCAACTTTCTCGTACGATGAGCCAACTAGCGGGGAAAGGGTTTCGCCCAGTGTTACGGGAGACTAAGTATGCCACCCGACACATAACTCTTAATTTCTTACTATCTTATAATCTTAATCTGAATAGAATCTGAATTGTATCTGAACTGAATCTGAACTGAATCTGAACTGAATCTGAACTGAATCTGAACTGAATCTGAACTGAATCTGAACTGAATTTGAATTGATTCTATAAAGTGAATAGGATAAATAAAAGAAAAGTTAAAATTAGTAAATGCTTCAAGAAGGCGGTAATGAACAAGACGGTAAGGTAGTGGCCAGGTATCTACATCCGATTCTCTGGAATGGGTGCTGAGATTCGATTCCGCCAATAGTGCTTTGCTGGTCTTTAAAAACTCGGATTTCAATGTTTGGAAGCCCCCCTATATCGGACTGGCAGCACATTGTTGCGACTTGGACCCGAAAATCACTATCAGACGTCCTAGGATCTATGCCACTGAAATGGAGAACCGCAGACGTGATTCGAGGGCCAATCTCGGAGCCAAATTCACGGAAGAACAGTCTACCTGCACCTGGAAACGTCTCACAGATAGTTGCAACCAGCTACGGAGGATGCGAAGCGCTTTCTGCATCACTGGCGATGATATTCTGGCTTGAGTAGATGTTCCATGGTGACCCTTTTGGTGTTATTGCTTGCTTTATTATTAATGCCAATCACAGCTTGGAGTATGGAGATGTAACTTGGTCATTCTTAACAGGTTTAGCTAGGAAGGAAAATCATCCTCTCTCATGATAAATTCAGCGCACCGCTCCCCAATCATATAAATGGATGCCGAGATCGAAGCACCCCCACACCGGGGTAGCACACTTGCATCAGCAATTCGCAAGTTGCGCACTCCATACACTCTCAGGCTCTGATCTACTACACCCTCTTCCTTTCTAATACTCATCCGGCACGTGCCAGCAGGATCATAGCTACCTGTGACCAGCCTCGTTATATACTCATCAATTTCGGTATCCGTCACGGTTCTCCAAGCGTCCTTCTGTGGTGGCGACACCCTTGTAAGCTTTCTCTTCTCACTCTTGCTTTTTTTCTTATCCATAAGACCATCTAAATACTCCAAACCCATCCCAGGAGCCATAGTCAACGGCGCCGGATGTGGATATCCGACCTCCGATCCCGCAAACTCATCTGCCAACCGCATAGCGAACCGCACCGCCTTACGCAGCCGCTCACTGTCGCGGGCATCGACCAGCAACGGGAGTGTAATTTTCAGGGGCGCTTTCTCGTCAGAACTGGACGACAACTCAACGCTGCCTGTACCGTGAGGCTGCACAAGAGCCGCGTACCATGTCATGCAGGGTACTCCGGGGACACCGTACTCGATAAGTGTGCTAAGAGGGGCAATGAGGATTTCAAGGTCGGTCACTTCCTTCTCGTCGTCTTCAGGGGGTATGACTGTCATTGTTGTCTCGTTGATTGCATCCGAGTGTAGAAATGCGGCGCCCCATTGGCCGTTAGAGGCAAGCACTCCAGTGCCGGAGAAGAGCCACAGCAAAAAGTGCCATAAGATAGCCGCCGTCTGAATGATATGCAGTGTGTGCTTGAGTGGGAGCTCTGTCATGACTGGCACAGGGATGTGGGTGGTTAAATTTGCACCCACTGCGGGGAGATCATGCATCACTGGAATTTTATGAGCGGACAAATGGTCCTTGGGGCCAATGCCACTGCTCGCTGTTAGCATCATGAAATGAGGTTATCTGGAAAGTTCGGCCAACCTTTGCATTAGCAGCTGCGGCGTACCGAAAGCGCCGCTACAAATAATCACCTCCTGTTGCGCCTTGACCAAAATGTCCGCACCCCCTTCAGACTTAATCCATACGCCTGTAACCCTCGTCCCATCATCCTCAAACTCAAGCTTCGTCGCCGTCACGCCTGTACAAACCGTCAGTCGCCCCTTCCTCTCATTCACAACCGAGGCATTCAGCCACGCCGTCAAAGCAGAGACCCTGTTCCCATCTGCATCAACCGAGACCTCGCTGCGGGCATATCGCTGAGTGCCTCGCTTCCCCCTCCATCATCCAGTCCTACTCTTTCCATTGCCGCATCTACATACGACATGAGTCCTAGATCACCTGCCTCTTTGCGCGGAATTGCCTTCTCAACCCGTGCAAAAGCCGGCGCTACCTTCTCCCAACTCCATTCGTCCAACCCAAGCTCACGCGCCCAGCCGTCAAATTCGGGCCGGCCACCGGGACTCCATACCATAGAGTGAGCGCGACTGGTACCACCTAGCATTTCGCCAGCAAGAAGTTGGACATGTCGCCCGCGCAAGTGCGCGTTGGGTTCGGCGTGGTAGCGGACGACCCCGCTCTGCAGGATGCCGAGTAGTGGGATCCGCGAGAGAACCCCGGCGTTGACGCGACCCTTGTCCAAGACTAGGACTGAGGCATTTGGGGAAGCAGAAAGTCGGTGCGCAATTAGGCATCCTGCCGTACCGCCTGGGGAATTGTTTTGGATTAGTCGATTTCATGGCTTTTGGTCAGGGGGAAGTGACACGCACCACCGACGATGATGTAGTCGAATGTCTTTCCCGCTACGTCACTCGCTGTCTTCTCTGGATATGTTGAAAAGGGCCACATTATAGCTTAGATTCACTTCTCCACCGCAGCTTTGGGGGTTGTTTAGGCGGCGAGGTGCCCAGGTGAGGTTGGCTTGGGGGCGGTGGTGCCAATGTCGTATCCCCGAGATTACTGCCCGTACACTACATTTTGACTTGGAGTATCTTTTATCAAACTCAATGCCTGTAGAATTCTATACACAGACATGTATCATAAAGTCAGGAAAAGAACTATGTGTCACCTTGGCGTATGAGTCTTTTAGGAGCTGGGAAATCGGATATGGATTGAGTTAGCAAAATCATAATCTATCGATGCTTGTCTTCCTAATAATACACTTGCATTCTCTTCGTCGGCTATATGAAGCACATCTGGGCACTCGCCTCTCTCGAACTGTCCATGTTCAAAACTCTCACTGTTCAATGCCGATCCTGTCACGGTGTTGTCTTTTGAATTCCAAAATCCATCGCCAAACCCGCCCCTCAGTTATGAATATCTGTTCGGTATCTCGCAAACCAGATAGTTGGGACGGGTCATAGTTGAATCCCCAGTCTGAAATCATTGTCAAATGACGAGCTAAAGACAGCTCGAAGGTCAGGGGTTTGGTGAAAATATCGCTCTCTGATTTTTTGATCCGAGATCCCGTCAAGTCCTCTTCTCTGATCTTTCTGTGCAGTTTTCGATAATATGGTAGAGCTCTTTGTGAAAAGAAATATGACTCGAGTTTGTGGTCCGATGAGTACACTGATTCCCACATTGTACGAAAAAGTGAAATGTCGTCTGTGGAATCAAATGCTAGAAACCGCGTGAGACACCAAGCAAATTCGCTGTTTTTAACACACTGAATAGCCTTGGGGACCGACAAGCCCACTAGTATATTGTGTGCATTGGGCCCCGCTGCATCCTGGAAGCCATGTCTGAAACCAAGGCAGGCTCTCTCGTCTAGCCTATCCCGCGACTGAGGAAACCCGGGTGGTAACAAAAGCAAGGGAAGGGGCACAGTTGTAGCACAAGCCCAGTCGATAATGCACGTAATGTTGTATTGATCGTCGACGAATATGTTGTCCATGGTGAGATCTGGGTGGCAGAGTGGGAAGCTGACCGGACATGTGACTCCAGACCAGTTGCGTGCATATTGAAAGATCAAACGATTGAGGGTATGAGAAGCAATAATGTAGTCAACTCTATTCGTGGCACCGTCAACCTTTTGTCCAACAGTGACGAATTGTGTCCAAAGATCGCGGGCACACTTCCACAGATGCTTGTTGGGGTAATCATTCCTAGAGGGCACCGGAGCAGCGAAGCAATGGTTCCTCAACGGGAGCATTTCGGCGTGCTTGATCAAAGCTATAATAAGACTGAGGTAGAACTCACTCTCGTTATTAAAGGGTCCACGAGGAATTCCTTCCAATGAATGTCTCTTATGATGGATATGGCCTTTTGACAGGCATTCTCCAACAACGAAAGATCCATTTTCTTCAAATAGAGACCCAATGAGAGGAAACCGAACTTGAGCAAGGTCCCATGTAATTTGACCCAGTTGAGACATTACTTTTTTCATTTCGAGTGAATTCAGACGATCATGAAGTTCATCGTTCCTCCACATTGTATTCAGCGACTTGCCCTGTGCCTTGCTCATCAAAATGTATGGGACCCGGACAGGATTGTTTGGATAAGCACTTGCAAAAGGTCAGCTCCATGATACGGCATTTATCTTGCAGCTCACTTACCAGTACGAGTAAACATCAGGAACAGGTATGTCTGTGTAAATTTTGAGATATCTGAGCGTAGCAGCTTCGCTTGAAAGAAGTTTGACGACACCGGGGTGATTTTGCACCGGCGAGCGAAGAACCCATTGAATGCCATCTGCAAACAAAACGAAAACTGCCCAGTTAAAGCCCCCGCACATTGGACGCTGATTCAAGTCACATGAGCACAAGAGATTTCGCATCTTACCCGCGAGTTGACAGAGAGCGAGCACGTCGAAGTCATTGTACTGAAAGATCGGGAATTCGTCTTTTCCTGTACTCTGATCCATGATGCTTGAAGGTGGGAGGGTTGGGGTTGCTCTGCTAGAAACAACTCAGTCGGCCATTTAATAGTGACAAAGCTATCATAATGAGACAAGATTGGAGCTGTGAGAGATTACAATCCGGAATGACGATGTTATTTTCAGCAAAGAAAGAACAGAGGGCGTCGATGTTGCCAAAGAAAGAACATTAGAACTATACACGTGACTAGTATCAGTGTGCACCATATGAGATATCCAAGTCGACTTCGCAGTCATGTCATAAGTTTTCTTGAGGTATTTTGGTTGTTAAGGATCACAGTGAACATGCCAAAGGAGAAATTCTACATAAGCGATGAACCAATTCTGTAGGGGAAACGTTTGAATTTCAATCTTTATGCGGACAAAATAAGATAAACAAAGTAAAAGAAATGGTTGTAGAGTATAAGACATTGCCAAAAGAAATAGCAAGAGATTAACATTTGACAGGATATATTCTCAATCAAAGAATGTAGACAAGGGAAATATTCATTCTTGGCCGGTTCGGCCTTCAACCACATCGAGACCCCACTCAGCCTTCAGGTCTGAAGTAAGGATACCCGATTTCTTGAGAATCGTCTCAGCAAGAGCCGGGATAGACTCACTAGTCAAGATCTCCAGGATCTGCAAATTAGCTTCCAACTCGCGGGTGATCCAGTTTCTGATCTCAATGGCGACCAGCGAATCGAGCCCATAAACTGTGATAGGTGCAGCAGGATCAAGGTCTTCCATTGGACGCATAAGAATGCTAGAGATCTTGTTGAGCACTGCAATCCCAACAATGGCCTCGGCCCCTTCGCGAGCCTTACATTGCCGGACAGCAACTGCGGGTGGAATCTCGGTACCATTCTGCGCAGACTCGGCCAATTCACCCGCGCCAGCGAGGGTGGAGAGCCGCAACAGGTGCGATAGTTTGGTATCGGTTACCCAGAAGGGCTGTTCATTGACTGGTGTGGATTTGACGCCTTCAAAGCCAACAACGCAGTGTCCCCCGCACGAGAGGTCGAACTCGTTGCGGATGGCTGCAGTCACAAGACCACGGATTTCTGTTCCGTCGACGGACTCCGTGCCGAGTTGTTTAGCGATTGCCTCGCGCTTCTGATCGTCGGAAAGGTATCCAATCCCACGCACAATGGGAAGATCAATCGTCGAGCAGCGCATCTTCGCTGTCTCAGGGTACTGGGCGAGCGCTGACATGAAGGTTCCACTAGCTGCGTAGGGGGATTGGCCGATATTACCAACGAAACTAGCGGCGGATGAAAGACTGACGAAGAAATCCACGCTACCGTTAGTTGTTGTCAACGCCCGTTGAAGGTTCCAGATTCCGTGGACTCTGGGCATCATGACCGTCTGGTAGTCCGCGAAACTAAGCTTTTCAAAGAGGGTGTCCTAACAGACGAGTTAGCGGAGATGTGATTTGGTCTTTGGTGTTGAGAAACTTACTCGGAGAACCATAGCGCCGTATACAACACCACGAGCGGGAGGCATGCGAGCGAGGAGTGGGACAAGATTTTGCTCCACGCTCTGTTTATCCGCCACATCGCAACGACAGACTTCCACATTGATACCCTGGCAAATAAGATCTTGAATCGTTTGCTCCGCTGTTTCAGTCTTAGCACCACTTCGAGAAACCAGAATAATATTCTTGGCTCCTTTCTCTGGCAACCAACTGGCGATATCCAGACCAATCCCGCTGGTTCCACCAACGATCATATATGAAGCATCTGCGCGAAGAAGATTTTCGTCCCTTCTAGCGGGATGGACCTGTATTCTGAGTTAGCAACCATCCGCTCTAAATGTGACTGAAGTAAATCCGAGCAAACATACCTTAACCATGGAGTCATCAGTAACCTGGACGACCATTTTGCCGATCACTTGTCCGCCCTGCAGTGCCCGGAATCCAACCTCAACATCTGAGATGGGAAGAGTGGTAACAGACCACCTCGACTGGGCGTTGGTGTCGACAAATAGCTTGAACGAATCACGTAGCAGTCGCTTCGTCAATTGCGGACGCTTCTCCCTGACGATACCCAAGTCGACAGATGCGAAGGAGATGTTCTTGTTGAAGTGGGCCATCTCCAATCGAGAGTTTGTCGTGATATCCCGCTTGCCAAGTTCGATGAAACGACCAAAGGGAGCAACACACTCGAATGTTGCTTGCAAAGCATCGCCGCTAAGTGAATTGAGAGCAACATCAACACCCTCGCCACCAGTAGCGTGCTGAATGCCCTGTGCAAATGACATGTCACGACTGAAGAAGATATGTTCTTCCTTGAGCTGGTAAGTTTCCATGAGGAAGGCTTTCTTCTCGACACTACCAACGGTAGCGAAAATATTGGCCCCAACGCTCTGGGCAATGATAATAGCAGCTTGGCCAACACCTCCTGCAGCGGCATGGATCAAGATGCTTTCATCTTTAGCCAATCGTCCCAAGTCAATGAGAGAGTAGTAAGCAGTACAGAACACAGCAGGAATCGAAGCTGCGACCTCGAATGGCATCTCGTCGGGAATTGCCCAGGATCCAGACGCCGGGCAGCGAGTGAAAGTTGACAAGGAACCCGGTGACATCGCACAGACTCGATCCCCAATCTTGAAGTCGGATACCGCAGCTCCCACTTGAGTCACAATTCCACTGCATTCCTGTCCGAGTCTGTCACCTTGAAGCTGGCCCATGGCCATCAAGACATCCCTGAAGTTAAGACCGGTGCTGTGGACCTGGATCTCGATATGGTCTTCCGCCAGGGCTCCATTGCGGGAAACATCGTCTGTGAAGTAAAGCTCATCAAGGCCCCTCCCGTCGCCAGCAGCAAGTCGCAAAGCGCGATCTTGTTTGAAGGGCTGCAGCTGGGGAGGCGCATCTGGTGTCTCTTGCTGGACACTGAGGTTCAATGCGTTGTTATCAATCAAGCGGGGTACACAAACATTGCCATTTCGGACAACAAACTCCCAGTCGTTCTGTGTTAGCTGCGATGTCTGG